TAAATACATTTTTCTGGCTAGACTGCTAGTTAGTTGTGATTGTGTTGTCACATGGGTGTTTGGTTGCTCCTAATTGGTCTAAACTCAGTTCACAACAATTTCGCCACTTTTAACATGATAATGTGGGCTGCAGTATAAATGGCAGCTCTTGTGATTTGAAAATTACACTTTTATTAAATTGTGATTTTGACATAAAATGATGCATCTTTCAGGCCTAATTTCAAGTATCAGCATATAATTTGTTTGCTAAAGTTTAGTGGAAAAAATGACCGTCTGTCCACAAAGATGAATGACCAGATGAGTCATGCTTCACTGTATTCTCAAGTGGGAGAGTGCATGTGCAGCATCCACTTAAAGAATGGTAAAGGCCTGAATGCTTGACCCCTAAAGTGAGGGGGTCCAGTGGCTCTGTTATCCTGTTTTTCTGCACTGTGGGTTGGGGAGGTTCTTTTTTGCCTAACTCATTTACAGGCAGTTCACCAGCTCTAACTAGTGATGCTTGGTTAAATTTCCCCACTTAAATTTTAAGACAGTCCTGTTTATATCTCATATTTAAAATTGTGATTTGAGAATTGTAACGAAACAATGATTAATCTTTCTGCTTATTGAGAGAAACCGAGACTCTCGATATGAACAAAAGTGACCGCACTCGCTGAGCAAGTCAGTAAGAAAGTAGCAGTACCTGAACATCACCTGCAGTGTGAAAGCACTCGAGCACTACGTGACCTCTGACAATGTGTGCTGTTTCGCAACAGCTCACGGGACAAGTGCAGAGATTGTATCAGTCTGATTCATTGGTTGTCACTTGACTAAAATGTGGGCAGAGAAACTACCCATGGATGTGAAACAGCAGAACTGGTTTGCTGCTGTATGTAGCCAAGAGCTGAAAAGGAACAGACAGTAGGGGAGAGTGGGCCGCAGGAGAACAACACTGGGTGAAATGGAACGCAGCTGAACTAAGTTTAAGTAAATTTAAGTAGTGCTTTTGGCCTGTTCTCTTATTCAGCATAGCTGTCAAACTTTGTATGTTCTATCTTAATGTCATTTCTCATCCTGGATGACATCCTCTTATGTAATACACACCTGTATTATGTCAGTGACCCTCTTGGTGACTGTTAGCACTGATCTGAAAGACAATACACTCACAGTGAGAGCTAGCCAGGCTAAAGTGCGGCCTCCACAGGACGGGGTTAGTTTAACGCTCTGTTACAACTAAGGCCTCCAGTCTAAACAATGAGGGGTGTCTTTGTTCTATCTTATGAATTTCATTTATTTTAATTTCTTTTAACTTTTTTTTATTTATTTTTTTTGTTTAAAACACTAGATGTAATGTAAATAAGGAATATTTTATTATGTATATTTTTATTTATTTAAGCGTGTCTAGTTCATACATGCTACAGTATATTTAGTTTGCATCTCCCCTTAGTCCAGGCATGTCAAACTGGGGACCTTCTGGGCCAAAGTGCCCCAGAAAGTAATGTTTACCCTCATCTAACACTCTGAATTCAGTTCATGAAGGCCTTGTTAATTAGCTGAATGAGGTGTGTTTAATGAGGCAGTGTGCTGAAGTCTGCAGTGTTGTGGCCCACCAGGATTGGACCCTGACACATGTGGCTTAGTCTGTTATTTATGTGGTAGATTGTAACATTTGCACTGATCCCACTTGTTTGTAATTGTTTGAAAAACTGAATTGTTTGTGAACAGTAGGTGCTGCAAACAAAGTTAAAATTTTCATTTGTAGTAGAGATGTGTAGGTTGTTTGCATAAAAAGATTCCCTGCTTGTCAACTTTACTGAGTATTTTTATTTGTTTTTGTATCACTACTTATAACTGTACTATACTTTTAGACAGACTTTTATACAGTGTGTTATACAGTATCAGAAACCATATAAGCAAGTTTATTCAGGCCATGCTAATTGGTGCCTATAAGTTCCCATAACTTGTTAGCTACATTAGCCTCATAGTTCTAGTGCAAAATCAAAGAAGCATTTTCAGACACTTATTTAAAAATGTTACACTGAAGGATGTTAGAATTAGTTAGTTCACCTTTCCATTCTTTTGTGCAGATAATAATTTTTCATCTAATGATTTAAAAGGTAAATAATATTAATTTATCCTGTTCTTCTTAGAGTTAGGCTCGTATCTAATGCCGTTAATTTTCTTGTTCTAGTTTCTGAGGCTGCGGAACATAACAGTAGGGAACCACGCGTATGAGAAGGATGGACGTTACTTCACTCCTCTGCTGATGTGCCAGCAGTTCTACCACAACGGCAGCATCTTGCCCGGCAATGAAACCTTCGAGATTGACGCTCAGGTGGAGGAAGGTAGGGGTTTGTGTAGACAAAGGCAAGCAAAACATCATCTAAAGTCCATGTGTCAAAAACAAGGCCTGTGGGCCAGATCAGGCCCGCCACACAATCCTTTCCAGCCCGCACAAGTATTCTAATTTTCCATTAATATTAGCCTATTTCACATTGCACTGCACTACAGTCCCCAGCATGCACTCCGACTCTCCCACCCCAACAATCATCCGTGGGACAGTGGTTACACCTCAGTTCTACACAATTCTACACAATTCCACACCAGTCATATCACCAAATGCATTTTTTAGCCCAAGAATTAATCAACTTGCAGCAAAGAAAAGATCAGGTCAGGTGTCCAGTTCAAGCAGGTTTAAAAGACCGAACACCTAGGGACATTTGAATATTTCAAGAACAATGGCCAGTTTGGGTTACAGCATAACACTAATTAAAAATGGAAAAAACCCTTTTTTTCTCTGGCCCACAGATTTGTTGAGATTTTTTAATATGGCCCCTTTACTGGTTGAGTTCCTTTAGGTCAGGGGACACCCCTGATCTAAAGGAAGGAGGAGGACTGTGTTTCAGGAGTTCCTAAACAGAGCTGTAAAAAACCTGATTTACAGGTTCTAGCAGGTTAACAGGTTCTCTGCATTATTTGTAAACAGTAGAGTAAGGAACATCTGGTTCACAGTGGAAGAGAAGAGTTAGCATTTGTACAAAACTTTTATGTTGGAGGTTTAATGATTAAACAAACAGTTAAACGGGGACGACTTTCACTGAGGTTTCCAGTGGCACCGCTGTCTGAGGTTTTGTTCCATTATCAGGTGATCGCAAGTCTGAATCCTGGCAGTGAAACGACCAAAGAAAACTCATTAATTCTCTGTTATCTGGGATATTTTGGTCAATATGGGTCGATCTATTGGTCAGGCCCAGCGTATACAACATCTCATTCATTAAATTGCTTGTATTGGATTCTTTTGAATGTGATCCTAAAGATTTTGTCCTGGCAGTTTTGCCTTTGTTGTGGTCAAATGAGTCCAAAAACAAAACATCAGCCCAGCATTGCCACTTTATATAGTTTCTGTGTCTCTGCTTTTTGCTGATCGCAATTCTGCAGCTCTCCTCTACTTTGTTTTGTTCCCAGAATGCCTTGAGATTTACCCTGTTCAGCTTCCATCTGCCACAGAAGGTGCAGACCTGTCCAACTTCACTCTGCAGTTCAAACGGTAAACAGCAGCAACACCTTTGTCTTTAGTAGAACCAACTTTAAGTCCTGTGACATGGTGAAGCATGTTGGCCTAATTCAGATGACTGTATGTTAATCAGATCATTAAAAAGTCACTCACTGACCACTTCAGTAGGAACACCTCCTTGTTTCTACACTTACTGTCCATTTCATCAGCTCTACTCACCATATAGGTGCACTTTGTAGTTCTACAGTTACAGACTGTAGTCCATCTGTTTCTCTGCATACTTTGTTACCCTGTTCTTCAGTGGTCAGGACCTATGACCTATTCTCAGTCCAGCAGTGACACTGAGGTGTTTAAAAACTCCAGCAGCACTGCTGTGTCTGATCCACTCAGACCAGCGCAACACACACTAACACACCACCACCACGTCAGTGTTACTGCAGTGCTGAGAATGATCCACCACCTAAATAGTACCTGCTCTGTGGGGGTCCTGACCACTGAAAAAACAGGGTATCAAAGTATGCAGAGAAACAGATGGACTACAGTCTGAAACTGTAGATCGACAGAGTGCATTAAATGGTCAGTGGAGCTGATAAAATTGGACAGTGAGTGTAGAAATAAGGTAGGTGTGCCTACTAAAGTGCTCAGTGAGTGTAGTTTAAAAGGTTATGGTCATAAAATGCCATGTTTGTTGCTGGGATGGGAATTACATTCTGAGAAAAGAGTCTAAATCAGACTAAATTACAATAGTCTGCCAAAAATGTCCAGCAGACAGCGATCCTGTGGTCAGAAACTGACTGCTAATGAAAAGCTAGAGGACAACAGAACTGATCAAGTACTTTGAAAAGTTTGATTTACAACCAACATGTTTGAATAAACAGAATTGACAGAAATGGTATTTTCTTAAAAGGATATTTAACAGCATTGAGTTTTTTATTTTTTTTTATTTTAAAAACTGAACAGCAACCTTATTAACACCTTCATGATAGAAGCTAATACTAAACTCGCTCTGCAGCCTCATTTCTGGCTTTGTCGTTGTGACCAGGTTGCTGGAGGTGAATGTTTACTTCACTCTAAAAGCCATTAACCTGCAGACGGTTCAGCACCACGAGCTTCCTGACTGTTATGACTTCAGCATCACAGTGCGTCACATGACCTCTCACCTCTTCCTCTTTTTATGAGTATTCTGATTCTTTCTTACCAAATCTTTCCATAACTATAAATAGAATAAACTTGCCTGCCTGGGTTCTTGTTCATGGTTTCATGTCTGGCTTCTGTTGTGCCTCAAAGCAATAGTTGAATTAAATTTGACTTTTGTTGTTTTTGTTTAGTTTTGCACTGGAATTATGAGGCTAATGTAGCTAACAGTTAATGGAAGCCAATACCCCACCAATTAGCATAGTACTTACTGCATGTCCAAATCATCACACACTAACCACAAACACTGACTCTGCATGACTTTGGTCACCAAGCCTGCTCCTGCAGATCTACCTTCCTGCGTAGTGTATTGTAGTCTGTGCATGCCTGGGTATAAAGGGGTGGCTGGGGTGGCCAGGGCATTCCCTGAAATCCATACTTTCACTTTAAAACATGCAGATTCCCAACTGTGGTTTATATTTTTGTGGTCATGCTCTGTTCTGTGGTTTTGTTCTGTGTGGGCACAGATCAGGTTCAACAACAGAGCCCACAGTGGGCAGATCAAAGTGGATCTGGACAATGACGTGGACATTAACGAGTGCAGAGACTGGAAAGTCACGGGAGCCTGTGAGTGTACCCATGATTCCACTTGTCCTCCTTAACCCACGCCACACATACACTCACCGTTTCCATGGTGTTTGTATTGTAAACACTCCCACATTCTCTTCTAAGCCCCACCGGTTCCTCCCTCACAGATATTTGTATGATTCATGATGATTTAAGATGATAAAAAAGACGTGATAATAATGATGAATATCGCATGCACATAAAAATTTGCTTGCTTGAGATGAATTAACTTTTAAATTAAAAAGATAAAAAGAAATGTGATGCATTACAATGAAAACAGATTCACTACATAAATATGCAAATGTGAATGATGGAAATGTTTGTGTTTTTGTGCTGTAGATATGACACATACCAGGTACCCGTTGACCGATGAATAAATGAAAATCTATATCTTACCAAGGATAAACATAACGCTAATATTAGAAGGTAGACAGACAATCAGTGCTACAGCTGAGTCATTCTGTCTGTGAACTCTTTTGATGTAAAACAATCAAAAAAAAAAAAGCTTTATTCACATATTTTTGGCAACATTTTCATTTGTCCACTTGAAATTAATTCAACAAATGGATAGAAACCTGGCTAGTGGCTCTCAATTTCCAAATTCAGAAATGGGCAGGGCATTTATTTATTTATTTATTTATTTATTTGTTTGTTTATTTATTGCACCACACATACCAAAGTATCTCAAAAGACATCTGTAGCTATATTTAAAAAAAAGTCTAGCTTCCCTTGCCTAATAGCAGTTCTCTGTTCCAAAGCCATACAGTCATTCTCAGTATTCATCTGACACACATAAGCCAGTTAATCTAGGAGTGGATGGTGTATGCTTAGAGCTCTGCACTGCAGAATACAAAGAATAAAAACCAATGTTTTTTTAAATGTGTGTTTGTTTATGATGTTTTATCCACTGTTTTGGTGGCTTTAGTTTGGATCCCAGTAATAAAATGACGTTGTCTACTCTTTTCCATTTTTCCTCCTCAGCCCCAAAGAACATCTACTACACTGTGCTGTTTGACGTTGTGATCATTCTGACCTGCCTGGCGTCTCTGGTGCTCTGCACGCGCTCAGTGAGCACAGGAGTTCAGCTGCAGTTTGTGAGTATTTGTCTTAGTTATAGTTAAGAAAACAAAAAACAACAAAATTTTGTTGACATTGAGTTTCATCGGCTACAAGTGATAAAATGAAAATACATAAAGTTTGCAATTTTTGTTGTTTATTTCCATTAAACTGATTTTATAACAAAAATGCTTCATGTAACAAATTATACATTACAACTTGTGTATATTTGACTTCCCTGACTGTTTATTTTATTTTATTATTTTATTATTATTTTCCATCTGAAAATCTTTCACGTCACTATTTTTATGTGTAAGTGTTTTTTTTTTTTGTTTCTTTTTTTCATCATTTCTTACATACAGGAGTACAGAGCCTTCTTCCAGAGGCACTTCGGTAAACTTGTGTCCTGGTCTGACCGGATGGAGTTCATTAACGGCTGGTATATCCTCATCATCATCAGTGACATCCTCACCATCACCGGATCTGTGCTCAAAATCGCCATTCAGCTCAAGGTCTGCTCTTCATCAGTGACTCACAACAACAGCAACTCTGCCTGTTTGTGCACGAACACACTTTATATCATTTTTACTTATTTATAAAAATATTTTGCAACATTAATTGCATGTTATTATAAATGAAATCTCTCATTTTTTTCAAAATGTCTGGGTCGTTTCCTCACTGAGATATAAACCGAGTCATTCAGAGTGGTTTGATGTGACATGATTCATTATAGAGAAAGTTACAGACTCTTTACAGTGGTGCTGATAGGAACCAGGGGTCGCTGTGGCTACAACACAAATATAGCCATTTTACTTACTATCAAAACCACCAGTTTATATGTAATGTTGATGGTAAAATCAGGGAAAAAAATTGTATGTGAACCATATCGCCTTGTAATGCCCTGCATATACCTCTCCACCCTGCATATGTTTTAGGCCAGAACCTTCACAGAACGATCATAAAACAATGTCTTGGACATCAGGCAGTGAATTCATCACCGTTAAAATGTAATAACTTTCTGTGAAGGAGCTTTTAGAGCTGTGACTTGGAACTCCTCTGCATTTTTTGTTCTCTAATCTGTAGTAGTAGTAGTAGTAGTAGTAGTAGTAATGATGATAATGATGATAATAATAATAATAATAATAATAATAATAATAATAATAATAATAATTAACCATATTTATCATGTTTTATACATTAAAATACAGCTCAGTGATTTACAACACAAAGGCACAAAGGCAGAGAGCATAAATGAGAATAATTACCAAGTATTAAATAACAAAAAGGAAGTGAGTAAAACAGCTACATGAAAAGCAGATAGAAAAGAATAAAAATCAATAACATGAATTAAAACTAGAATACACAATTGGTAATAATGTTACATGATACAAGAATAAAACTACACTCTAAAAAAGGGGTTCTTTAGTAAATAAAACAGTTCTATATAGAACCATGAACACTCACAGAACCATTTGCATGATTAAAGCATTCTTTGCACCATAAAGGGGTTCTTTGGATTGATGGAAAATGTATATGAATGTGCTATAGATGGTTCTATATAGAACCTTTTTGAAAAGCGTTCTATATAGCACCCAAAAGGATTCCTTAATTGTTACAAGCTTGATGCCATAACAAAAGAAGAACCCTTTTGGGTGCTATATAGAACCCTTTTCAAAAAGTTCTATATAGAACCATCTACAACACATTCTCCATCAATCTGTAGAACGCTTTCACAATGCAAAGAACGCTTTCATCATGCAAAGCGTTCTTTTGAGTGTTGGTTCTATCTAGTTTTCTTTACTAAAGAACCCTTGAAGCACCATCTTTTGTGTAAACAGAAGCTTGTGGGAGGGAGGTCCACAGTTTGGGAGCGTATCCCTGTGTGTTGCGAAGTTGAGTTGGAGCAAAAGTCTGGACCATTTGGGGGTCCCTGAAGGCCAGTTTGAGGACCACTGCTTTAGAGGTATTAAACTCTTCAGATGTCTGGTTCTTATCACCACCTCTGTGAACAATTCTGACTCTTAATTCTTCCCTAAAACTAGTATTTCACCCCAAACCACTCTGAATGACTCTGTTTACATCTTAAACATTCAATTCACCTTTAATGGCAAATTTCATTGTACAGGGAGTGTCACTATAGGCACTCCACCATCATCATGCCTGCAATTCAGTATATTCACCTCTGTGATGCCATTGCTTTGTAATAAGAAGCTTGACGAGGCTGTAAATCAGTCTTTGGTACATGTTTGTGTTTTTATCTCTCCCTCTCTCGAAGGCTCTGACCAGTTATGACATCTGCAGTATCCTCCTGGGCACCGGCACCATGCTCGTGTGGATCGGGGTGCTGCGCTACATGGGCTACTTCAAGAAATACAACGTAAGCTTCTTTAGTTTTCACACCAGTGACGTCAGCATCCCCAAAACATCACAGCACATCTTCATAGCATGGAGAAGAGAGAGAGAGTTTGTAGTCATACTTTCCCTGCCAACTGGTTGTGCTACAAACTCTTTAACGTGGTGCTAAAAGTTCCACTTTAAACCCCTTCTGTAATTCAGACAGGCTTAATTGTGGAGACACTTTTGGGGAAACTTGCCTCTGCGTCGTTTTATACCTTCTTTATCTTTTTGGTTCAGGTCCAGGGCTCTTATTTTGCTTTTTGAAGATAGAATAGAGATGGTTGTGTGTGTTTGATGCTGATGTGCACTCTGCCTCCTCACAACTGCATGGTTTTAGATTCTGATCATCACTCTGAGGGCAGCCTTCCCCAACGTGATCCGCTTCTGCTGCTGCGCTGCCATGATCTACCTGGGCTACTGCTTCTGCGGCTGGATCGTACTGGGGCCTTACCACGAGAAGGCAAGTGCTGACTTTATACTTCGCTGTGGTCTAGTAACGCTCCAATCAGAAAACATTCCAGCATGGAGGAAAGTTTCTTTATAAATAATAACAGTTATATTTTAATTCAATTTATACATAGTTTTCTTTATTTTCGGTGTTTTTATATATAATATGCCAGTTGTTTTCAGTCATTTTATTTAATTGTGACAGCTGTGTTAGACAAACACTACACTCAGTGTAGCACCAACATTAGCTTGAAATTGTGGCTCTTTTTATATGCAGTACTTGAAAGAGTTGTTGGCAAATAGTTGAGTGATGTTTAGCGTCTAGTAAAGGCTTGCTGTAGAACCATCATTCTTGAAGAAGGGCTTTAAATTGTAGCTACAGTTATTCTGAAACAGCTTCTCCTGCTACCTCATTGAACTGTAGGGGCAATCAATCAATCAGTCAACCTTTATTTCAACTCAGAAGTACATTGAGGGTGACCCTAATACACAATGTAGCCAAGCAAATTACACAGTGAAAAAGCTGAAATGAAATATATCAATAAAAACAAATGAAAATCAACAAGACAAAAAGATTTATAAAAAATAAATGAATCAAATGTACAGCTCAAACAGGAAACAAGCATTAAATATATTGAATATATAATTAAAACATGTTAAAATGAAGTATAAACCAACTTAGATAATAAGCCATAATAAAACAAACATTTTCATAGTTTAGTAAAAACTCCAGGTACCTGACAGGTGATCCAGTCGCTACAGTGTGTTTAGTGTTATTTATAGAGATTATAGATGAGATATAAGCTGGCATATGGCTGGAGAGGGATTTATACTTTATCATACAGTCTGCAGTGTAAGTGTTATAAAGGTCAACAGTAATGAATCGCATGCACCCACACTGACCTCCACAGACAGCCTGTCTTTGTTTAAAATTGTCCAGACACAAAATACATGAGTAACAGGAAACTAAAGCCAATCAGACATGACCGAATGACTGAAACCTCTGACTTGGAAATGTGCTATGGAACAGTCGGCCAAGTTGGAATTCCCAGGTCCCGGTTTTCTCCATAAAGCAACATTTCTTATCTTCGGTTATGAAAATGTGGTAAAACGCAGCGCTAATAAAGGTATTTATAAAATTCCATAATTTGGAAATATTTTACTTCTGAGTACAGTAGAACATAACATAAGGACAGTATGATTCTCCTACTTCCTCTGCCGACTCTCACTGCAGGATTGTCCAATTCCGGTACTGGTGGCCCAAAATACTGTGCAGTGATCTCACTCACTGATCTCAAACATGTTCAAAACTCAGCCAGAGAAATCACCACACTGTGCCCTGTACAGCCAGAGCTGGCCACTGTATTATTTAATTCACTGTTTAATTTGCTTTAATGGTTCTTTTGAGCTCTCCTCTGTGTCTTTCTCCTCAGTTCCGTTCTCTGAACACGGTCACCGAGTGCCTCTTCTCCCTGATCAACGGCGATGACATGTTCGCCACCTTTAAGAACATGCAGCAGAAGAGCTACCTGGTGTGGCTGTTCAGCCGCGTCTACCTCTACACCTTCGTCTCGCTCTTCATCTACATGGTGCTCAGCCTCTTCATCACCTTAATCACCGACACCTACGAGACCATCAAGGTAACAAGCCTTATAAAGACACCCCCAAGCACTTTTTCAGTTGCAGTTGGTTGCTTACCGGCCACTTTTGCACCTGGGTCCTAGTGAAAGTCTTATGAGTAGCATTACTGAATAATTATTATGTTTATTAGTAATTATAAGACAGTTAGAGGATTAGTAATGGCAATGACCATTTTCTTTACTAAAGAACCCTTGAAGAACGATCTTTTTTTAAGAGTGTAATATATCAGTATATTGTTGCTGTCAGGACAAAAATGTTATGTCCATTTTTGTCATTTTTAATTTTTTGACATAATTTAAAAAAGTCAGTTGCCCTTATAATGGTTCAAAATTTTATGATGAATGGACCAGCAGACGTGATCCAAAGTTACTTGGAAAACACTATTTATTCATTCACTCCCATTAAAGGTTAAAAACATTTTTGCTTAGCCTGTGAAATTACCCTTTTGGAGGTATGAGGTTTTGTTCCAACAGCAGCAAAATCAATGTACATCACATCAATACTATCATATCAAAACCTCATTCACACACAGTTCCCTACTTTTCACATTGTGTGAACATGAATGGACCAATAGGAATAGTCCAAAATCTCATTACATCAATGTAAGAGGAACTTTGTTTGCTCTGTTCTGAAGTTCAAGGTTTTGTTACAACTGCAATATATTACTGCCTCACAGTTTACAAGTACTACTGTGTATTTTGTTGAACTGCTTGGGACCTCTGGGCTAAATATACACACATATAAAAAATGTTACACACACACACAGCCTAGATCTGGGGTGCCCAATACTGGTCCCGGAGATCTTCCACCCTTCAGAGTGTAGCCAGTGTGTCCAAATTATAGTCTTGTCACACCTGATCCAGATCATGAAGGCCTTCAGGGCTGTGAGGGCTGTAATATAAAATTTTTTAGGTTTCCTAAAGTAGTTGATCATTTGTCATAACTAATCATAATATACTGAATGGCCCTCTCTGTGCATGTACAGCTTTCTGAGCGTGTGTGTGTGTGTGTGCGCGCCTGTGGGTGACACTGGCTGTGTTTACATGCAACGATTTTTGCCAATCCGATTGAATACAATCCGATTACAGATTTAGACTGAGGTGTTTATATGCACTCTATTCAACAATCTGATGGAAAATCTTCGTTTACATGCTCACTACAAGTAATCCGATGCAAAATGACGCGCATGCGTGGAGTAGCGCTTAGAGTAAACGTTACCATGACAGCGAACATCACGTGAGGTCCAGACCAGTTTCTGCTCCGCCATGTTGAGCGGTGTAAACTTTCGCCGTGACGCGACGCACATGCGCAGAACATACTTACACGTTCCGATTGGAATGTAATCGGATTCAGGCGTTTACATGGCTATTATTCTTCTATTTAACGGATTATTTAGAAGTTTACCCACCTCGTTTAATCGGATAGAAATTGTATTCCGAATGGCCTCAATCGGATTAGACTATTCCGATTGAGGTGTTTACATGGACGTGTTCTATTCCGATTGAGCTATTAGTCGGATTATTAACGGATTATCAGGCTGCATGTAAACGTGGCTACTGAGTATGTTACAGATTATAGTGGTGTGTGCCAAGTAGGCCTCATCTGGGAAAAGCACACACACTGAGAAGAACACATTTTTTCCATAAGTATTAAAATGTCTTTGAAGGAGGAAATCACATATGTAGAGAGACATAATTGTAACAATATTGAATTAAAATAATAAATAAAGTAAGTACAGATGAAAGGCTTAGGTCGGGATGGAAATAATGGATAATGAATGAATTCTGGATAAGAAAAAATTATGATGTGAATAATGACCCCTCCAACTCAAGTTTGTTGAAAATTCTTTTATGAGTTAATTCTCATAAAAGAAATTATGCCTTTCCTGCCAATCCTGGTGTTTTGAGCTTTATTTTCATTTTTGAGCAGAGCTGCCTATTCTTGCAAAAAAGTGTCTGAATAACAGCGTTAGGTGTGTTGGATCTGAACTCTCCTGGGTGGTAGATCTGCAGGACCATGATGGGGACCCTTGTTCTAGATTATTATTCCTCATTTTCTGAAATCTTGTGGGAATGACAACTTGCAATGAGATTTTTTTTTTTTGTTGTTGTTGATGTTCAGCAGCAGCAGTCAGATGGGGAGCCTGTCTCTGAGCTGCAGGCCTTCATTTCAGAGTGTAAAGACCATCCTAGCTCCGGCTGCTACCGTGTGGAAGGCAGATCCTCTACCTGCCTGTTTTGCTGCGTTCGAAGGTGAGATTTTATTGTTAGCAACTATCAGTTATTGCATTTTTCAGCCTATGTAATAGGAGCTTTACCCGCTGTTTTTAATTGCCTCTTTGTCATTTTCTTTATTTGAAACCTTTTCACTTCTCTTCAATAAAATTAAGAAAAAATGCCATTTTTGTTTAACTGTTGCATTTTCTTGCAATAATTAAACACTTTCAGATTCATATTGTTTATATATCTTCAGTTTGTGCATAATGTAGGGAAATATGTGTGATCTGTGACATTGCTCAACTTCAGTGTCTAGAGACACTATTTAGCTAGGAATCTTGATGTTAACATAAAAAAATGCATATTTGTGAGGAACATTTATACAACTCTACCGTTCAGATGGTGATGCATCTATCATTGCATGTTGAAAACTTCTTCTGTTCCAAAGGTAGTAGGTTATGGTTAAGGTTAGTATTACTTACTGCTGGAAAGTGCAGGTCATGGTCAGTGGTTAACAAGTACCTCACAGGAATAGTGCTAATTTACAATCTTGTGAATCTTTGCCTGTTTCTTGTGAAGATGGTTGCATTAATTTGATATCTTCCTTACAGTGAGAGATTTGTGAAATATTTCTGTGTTGAGCTGATTAGAAAGTTCATGGCCTTTGGCGTGTTGCTCTGAACTAAATTACTCTCTCCTCTTTTTCAGGCCTAACGACTTGCAAGAGAGACTGGAGTGTTAAAGTGGGATTGCATCATTCTTGCATTAATGGATTTTTCCAGTGGTTCCTAACCGTAGTCCTGGAGAACTCCTGCTCTGCACATTTTCGGAGGTTTCTCTGTTTTAACATGGATTATTCCCAGTGGTGAAAATAATGAACTTCTTAACAAGCCCCCTTCTTGAAGTGGGTGTGTTGGAGAAGAGAACATGTTGCAATGCACAGGACAGGGATACTCTAGGACCAGGATAGGCAACGACTGAATTCTTCCAATTTATACTGTTTACATGTGCAAGATATAAGGCAGAAGGGACATGGGAATATTCCAAGCCTTCAGAAGTGTTGATTTATTGTTTTCACACAGGCTTTTTTGTTATGCCTGTTATGTCTTCAATTTTGAAGGTGGCACCTGACACTTTTGCAAATGTTAATATATTAGGTATGAACTAAATATAAATAAATATTTGTTGCTTCACTAACTTAACTCCTTATTCTGAATTCATGCATGACATTATATTTCACAATTTCAGATGAGTTAAAAGTCCATTTACATACAGTGGAATATCCAGATGTGTTCCAAATAGCCATCAGCATCCAGGCCTTTTAAAATTCCATTAAAAACATGTTTTATATATACTTTCAGTTTAAGTTATAAAGATAAATGCACATCAACCATTAAGGCCATAAATCATTAACCTATGTTTTACTTAAATTAGTAATCAGATCAGAATCATGATTGCTGACCAAGTGTATGAATTGAGCTTTTTTGTAAATTGAATAGCTTATTCAGTGTGTTCAATTCATTGAAGCTTGGTGATTCAGTGATAGTGCTCTTGTTTGCTATTGTTGTTATTGTTATAATCATTATTATTATGATTATTTTTATGTATAACTTATTATAGTACTCTTCAATTATTCTCAGATGCTTATAGTGGTTGAGGACACTAACAAAAGTAACAAGATTAATGACATACATATATTCATTAGCATTGTATTACTGGAACCTTATTAGAAAATATATTTCCTCTAGTGCCTTGCAAGTGTGTCCATAATTTTACTGCAATTCTTGGAGTTTTTATTGCCAAAAAGGTGAAACTTGGAAAGGTCATCAACTGCTGTCCAACACTAGTGTCCATAGTTTGACCAACAGTAGACATCCATTGATCTGTGCATTTCACATCAGTTTCTTGTATTTGGCCTTATATTAGCTGGATCTGAGAGGTGGATCACTGCACTGTTTGTGCATTTAAGACATCAGTGTTTATAGAATTTCCAATTGGTGTAATCTCACAGCAAAAAGCTGTTCAGCTCTGACCTCAGCTCTGAACCTAAGTAACAGTAAACTGCTGGATTCAGGAGAATCCAAATGGTAAACTGGAGAAACTGAAGTGAGATTATCACTAACTTGAGGATGGGGGGAAAAAAACAGAAAACCCAGCTTTATACCAGGCTCTGTTGATATCTTAAATAATAGTTAATACTCACAAATTTAAAGTAATGCAGCGAGTAAGATTACACCCTAGTATGAGGAAGATTGAGGTTCGAACCCCTGCTTTGGCAGTAATGTCATTTTATGCTGCCTTTTGAAGAACACACTGGGTTTGGTTTCCTCTGAAACATGATAAGAGTGTTTGCTGCAAACTGAATGATGTTTAATTCACGTTCACTACTCAGCTTGGAATTCCTGGCAAGAAGGCCATATCCAGCAGAACAAAGAACACACACAAGCCTGGAGGGCGGAGCCCTGCAACCAGTAGCCTATGTCGTTTTATGGCTAAAATGTCCCTTATCTACATACCGTGAAGGCATGGCCTTAGTAATTTCCATTAAAGAAATTCAGAATTTTCATTCTGAGGCCATTTATTGCTCCACAGCACCACACCACAGGTCTTTAGTTCTGTTTCCTTGGAGGCCTAAGCTGAACCATCTCTCATCACTAGCCAGCAGGCTGAAGTTGTTTTAATGAGGTGACTGGAAGGATGTTGGAGTATAAGGTTAGCGTTGTAACTGGAGAGATGACTCGGGGAGGAACAATGGACAACGTCTTCATCACCCTGATTGGCAGTGAAGGAGAGAGTGAACGTACACTCCTCAACCAAGGCCGCGACTTTGCATCCAACCAACCGGTAAGATCGCACTTGGCTGAGGGCATCAATCAGTATATGATTATAGAGGACCGTACATGAGCCAAAATGTGGATGTGAAATGGACGAGCTCCAGAAACTGGTGACAACAAAAGTACCTGAAATAGTAGATATGATGTATAAATATTTGTCTGCATGTAATAAGAATATTGCTACTGTCAGATCAAAACCTCATATCTCCAAAATAGTAACTTTACAGGAGAAAGAAAAAACATTCTTTACTTTTCATAGAAGTGAATGGAACCAAACATTTTTGCACATCCCACATCCCATATCCCACCCACCCCAATTGCATGCTTTTATATGCAAGAATAAATTATACATAATAAAAAAAATCCCCAGCATGTTACGTTTAAGGTTTCTGTAAAGACAATTTCCTTTTTTTATTTTTAAGTCATGTTGTATATTGTTATACAGTGCTGTTCAAATGGTTGATATCATTGGTCGCATTAGTATTTTTATTTGTTTGTTTGTTGGTTTATTCTATTTTACAGAAAAATTACTTATTCAATGCATATTCAGGTATTATAAACACCAAAAATGTTAAGCAAGAAGTGAAATAATAAATAAAAATGTATGTAAAAAGGTGTGAGTGGGGGCTGTCATGATCATGAAATGTAAGCTGACGATTAATTGTCACATAAATAATCGCGATTAATGATTTGACTTATCTAGTTCATTGTTTGCTACTATTAAAATATCAGCCTAAAGTGACCAAATTGGTTTATTCACCACCTTATCTACCAACTTAGTGGCTACCAGTGGTTGTACTGTTAAATCAGTACTCTCAATAGTTTATACAAATGTCTACAGGTAAACAGAATAATATGTAGAGTTAAGCTAAGTGTTCTTAATATTCTGAATGTATTTTATTAGATTATCCATTTATTACAGCTTTCCCATTCATTGCACAATACTCTCCATATATATATATGACCTGGATCTTAATAGCACATTTTAGAGCAGAGATGAGAGATGAGCTCATAATGTAAACAGACTGAACCACAGAATGAGGTCATCTGTGATGTAATGAAGCAGAAATGAGAGAGAGAGACATGGAGAAACAGTGTCCACATCCTTTGATCAGTGGCATCAAATTTGCTATTCAAATTGATAAAGTATCTATGGCTTACTGTGAAACTCAAACCCAACAAGCAGTTAATATGTTAAAGACAGTAAGTACCTCCCTCCCTCCCTCTCTCTCTCCCTCTCTCTCTCTCTCTCTATATGTATGTGTAATATATATATATATATATATATATATATATATATATATATATATATATATATATATATATATATATATATATATGTCCCTCTCTCTCTGTATGTTCATATCCATATACTAAAGAACTAAATAACCCATTTCCTATATTTTTCATATTTCCTCTGATGTCCATTTCTGATGTTTGTGTGGTTTTCCATCCTTTATCCCTTATAACAGGCTGTTTTTGTTACTGCGCCTTTAAGACTGATACATGTAAAAGACCTCTGCTCTGATTGGCTGCATTGTGTTGTGCCTCATACAAAAAGCAGTCTGGCTTGAAACACTCATAATAAATTCAACATGGGGCCAAACCGCTGTAACTGAAGACACAAACAATGAATTCAAAACAGAAACAGCTTTATTGCAGCTAAGGTTCCATACATGGAATGTGTGTGTGGGTGTATTCTAGTTTAAACAGTGTTGATAAAATACCCTGCACTCTTTTATTCAACAAAAGCGAGTAACATTCAGGTTTACATGCTATGGGTCCTTTAAAATTCAACATTTAATAAAATGTATTTACAATAAGCATATTTTAACCATGAAATGAGTCATATGGCACTGTGGCTAATACAGTGTGTTTATTTACAGGATAAAGAGTATACAGTGAAGACTGAGGCCTCTTTAGGAAAGATTCTTCTGATTGGTCTGGAGAAGGAGCAGTTCCTCCCCTTCTTTGATGATGATTGGTTCTGTTGTAAAGTTGTAGTCAAAACCCCAGACAGTGAGGAACTACATTTCCCATGTTACTGCTGGATCAAGGAGAGACAGCTGGTGTATGTGAGGGAGGGCACAGGTAAAACATAACTCTTAGACCAACAACAAAAATGCCTTGATGCATAATATCATACCATATACACTCCTGTGCAAACTGTCTTTGCTGATGATACTGGTCAGATGGACTAGTCCTGATTTAAAACCTATAGAGAACATTTGGTCTCACATGAAACACAAACTGTGTGAAGCCATTAATGCTGAGTGGAACAATTTTGACAAATTCTTTCTGTAAAAGGCTATCTGCAGTTCAAAATTAAAGGGAAAGGCCATCGCATACTAACTTACTGCATCTAATTGTGTAATTCTTGTTGAATTACTGACTAATGATTCCTTGTAAAGACCATTAAAAGCTTAATGTTTTGCCATTTTGGGCACGGAAGTGTATAATTCCAACAAAATTCTGTATAATCGCTGAGACTTAAACAGAGTCATTCAGAGTGGTTTAATGTGAAATGCTCTGTTCTAGGGAAACATATCAACTCAGATTTCTTTACAGTGGTGGTGATAGGAACCAGAGGTCCAGAGGATTTAATGACTCTAAAAGCTGTCTCAGAGAAAGTATTTACATGAAATGGTTATGAATACACTCCCTGAGACATTGTTTAATGACAGTTTGGGGATATGGTTCTGGCGTAAAGTCCATTGATGATGGAGAGGTACATGCAGGGTGTTGTGAGGCAAAATAGGTCCTCAAACTAAGCTTTTTTTTAGGTTTACCACTATTTCACCATCAGCATCATTACATACATAAATAAACACCCGGGTTCACTGGTGGTTTTGTAACCTATAGTAAATAAAATGTTCATATTAGCCTTAAAGCCATGGCAACTCCTGGTTCCTATCACCACCGCTGAGTCTGTAAGTTTCTCTACAGCGAACTTTTGGACCTTTGAGACTTAAGCATTGTGGTACATCATATGACCTCTCACTCGTGTGTGTGTGTGTGTGTGTGTACAGCTGTGACTATACTGAAGGAGACAAATTCTATGTTAAAGAAGTGTAGAGAACTGGAACTGATGGAACGCCAAGCCTCCTACCAGTGAGTCCCATAACTCTGTTTGTGTGTGTCTAATTCACAGAATGCTGAGGAAAAGCACTACTACTCTGCTTCATTTGTGATGTGTGTGTGTTTCAGATGGAGAGAAACAGCTAAAGGTCTACCACACACCTTTGAATGCAGATGAAGTGAAGGATCTACCCTGCTGATTTGCAATTCACCTTTAACAGAACCTTGCATTTCTTTTTCATGTCCAACATGTCGTGAGTTGTGCAAACACACACTAAAGTTAAGACTAGTGTTTGAGATGTGAGGCATGGGGCCTGTGTCATGAAGCACGTTTACATTCCTGAGAAAGGCTGTGTTTGAAATACCATACTGTGTACTGTATACTGCATATTGAACCAGTATATACTGCATTCTGCACCAGTATATGCTGTATACCATACACTGCACCAGTATATACTGCATTCTGCACCAGTATATGCTGTATACCATACACTGCACCGGTATATACTGCATTCTGCACCAGTATATGCTGTATTCTACATACTGTACCAGTATATATTGTATATTGCACGAGTATATGCTGTATACAATATACTGTAGCAGTATATAATGTATATTGCACCAGTATATACTGTGTAATATACATGGCACCAGTATATACTGTGTACTGTACCCTGCCCCAGTATATACTGTATACTGTACACTGCACCAGCATATACTGTATACTGCATACTGCACTGGGATATACAGTATACTGCACCAGCATATATTGTATACTGCATACATTTATGCTACAAATAACATGAATTAAAAAATGCCACCTGAAAGGACCTCCATCAAAAAGCTGTCCTTCATTGGTCCATGAGCTGTTTATCTTGAGTGTGTAGTATAAGTTGCCATGGTGAAAAAAAGTGATCCACTATTGTGCGATGGAAAATCCAGGATTAGATCAAACTACATTTAAATAGCTGGCTAAGGAAGAAATCCTGCTTCGTGAGACAGACCCCAGCTCTACTGAGTGTGTATATGTATGTGTGTGCAGGCGGGCGGAGCTGAAGATAAAGTTTTTGGCCGACTCCAAAAAGGCCTGGGAGAGTCTGGATGCGATTGGTAGAACATTCTTCTTCAACAAGACAGATATTTACTGTAAGAAACCAGCCACAAACACCAAGACACCAACACAAGCACATTCCAGAGCCAAAAACCTCACGCAAGTACGTGCATGCAAATGTTTCAAGCTAAGCAGACTCGATATTTTTATTATACAGTATGTCAAAGTGGAATGGAAAGGGGCCCTATATCCCACATATAGGCCACACACCCCACCTTCTATTAAGTCTTTTCATTTTTCTCCCATGCAACAAGGAAAGCAACTGTTAACATCTTCACTGTTGCTGTTGCTAATAGAATAACAGCAGGTCTGTTGTTGTTTACATTCATTTGTGCTCCTTCTTGAGTATTGCGGCCTGTGACTGCCATAGCAACATAAGCACACATACTGAGGATGGCTGAGCCAGCCATTGACATTTGCATTTGTGTACTTGCGTGAAGTCTGTTTCTGGTCATACAGACCAGACTTGCCCAGACCCTAACCTCATCATGTCTGACCAGCATATGTGCAGGCTCACTGGGAGGAAGACGAGTTTTTCGGGTATCAGTTCTTAAACGGAGCCAACCCAACAGTGGTGCACCAGTGCAGGAGAATCCCAGACAACTTCCCCGTCACTGACAGCATGGTGCAGGCCTCCATGGAGGGCAGCTCTCTGTCCGCTGAGATAATGGCACGTAAATGAGGAAATGTATTTTGGCGCCAGTGCACAAACACATTCATGCAGCATGTTCTCAGTCTTATACTGCAAGCCATAAATCTGTTCGCCTTGGTCTATCTGAGAGTTGGACATGATCCAACAGAGGTCCACTCCTTAGCAGTAGTAATTTATTGACCACTGAAGTCATTCGTTTACTAGCTGTAGTAGTTACTGATTTGTTTTTTATGGAGTGATTTGGGGGCTTCAGTCTTCTAGAATTACTTCCTTTCTTTTGACCCTGCTGAAAGTCTCAGTGGAGGCATGTGTGTGCAGTGGGAAGACAATGCAATTAATGTAAGGAAGATGTATAGACTTTCTACGTCATAGCAAAAAAAGAAAATAAATTTTTTTATAAAAGAGTTTAGATTTACTAGAACAATGAGACATTTAATCTATATGGAAAACTTGCATTGTCACATATAAACACACTATGCGCTCAACTTTGATAGCAGAGCAGAGAGCTAAGTGGCAAACAGCGTAGCAGCTAGCACAACATATTACACATTTCAACATTAAAGATCGAAAATGCATCAAATTAGCTTTTATATGTCACCTATTGATGCCTTTCTGCTATATAAGAAAGTTAGGATGGTTGGTGAATTAGCTACCAATTTTATGTTGCTTGTTGGCTTTATTTGCAATGCATTCTCGGAAGGTCTGGCTAGAGCACCATTCAAGCCTCTACATTTATATTTATGGCATTTGGCGGATGCTCTTATCCAGAGTGACTTATGTAACTATGTAAATGTAATCATGTAGTATTAGGAGTCTAGCCCAAGGATGCTAATGGGTATAAAGTGGTGTGCTTTCTTGAATGGGGTATCAGACCCCAGTCTGCCATGTGAAGGGCAGCAATGTTACCCACTAGAGTACACCAGCCCCTACCTTTTGAGGTACATTGTGGGATCGACTTGGAGATACTAGTACATTAGGGTAATGTCTACACTGAGAATTAAAACTATGTGAGCTAAGCTCACTAACCTCCTAACTAACTAACCTCCGCTTAGATTACTATATGGAGAACAAGGGTCAATTTGTGACATAGCCATGGTCATAAACAGGAATTCTGAATTGTGTAATATGACCTTTTATGTTCCTTTTATATTAAATTGCCTTATAATTACCTCATATGTAAGGACAAGACCAATGCACATGCTGTCCAAGCCAGGGGCCAGCCTAGCTGTACAAACACAATTTTTAAAATGTTTTTTCTATCTTTTTTTTCAGAAAGGAAACATTTTCCTGTGTGATTACGCACTGTTGGACGGCGTGCAGGCCAACACTATTAACCTGCGGAAGCAGTATGTGGGTGCACCTCTGTGCCTCCTCTACAAAAACAAAGATGACAAGCTTATCCCTATTGCCATACAGGTACAGTCTGGGAAATTGATGGATAATACACACTGCAAACCACTGGGGCTGTTTCATCAGAGACATTATTTAAATTATGTAAATCTTGGTTTATACTTTTTCTAGCTAGCTGTGTGGTTACTGATATAGGTGTTTCATTGGCATTCATGCATGCTGTGCTTCAGTGTAACCAGCAGGCAGGAGAACAGAACCCGATCTTTGTGCCGGGCGACTCTAAGGAGGATTGGCTCTTGGCCAAAGTTTACGTGCGTGCAGCTGACTTCCTCATACACCAGATGATCGCTCACCTGCTGCGAACTCATCTGCTGGCTGAGGTCTACACATTGTCCACACTGCACAACCTGCCTACAGTGCACCCAGTTTACAAGGTGTATATCATTACTTAGTTATTGTGTTCTGCTCAGTGGTCAGGTGGAAGAACCCATCCAGAGTTCTAGGACATTCTAGAAGACTATTACTAACATAACTGTGCTTTTTCATTTAGGTTTGAGCTGCTTTGTTCCCTAGAAATAGGCAGCATTTTGACTAAATTTGAGCCACGGTATTTAGCAATTATATCCCCAATCACTCCCACCCATTACAAGCTAATATGCTAAGGCTAACAATGCTTGAGACTGGTGGTAACTAACTTGGTTCTAGCTGGCAAAGTTAAAAGGTTAGTTAACTATCTGGCCATTTGAAACAGTAACCAGAGGTGATCGAACTAGCTAAGATGCTAATCTGAATGGTTGTACCGAACACTATAAAATGGCTGTAAACATAACTCAAATCATAAAATAGTCAACTGTATACAAGTACAAGTGTACATTGACTGAAAAAACTTGACGATTTCCCGTCAGCATTGACCATCAGCTTAATGCTAACACAACATATCGCTGTTGTCTGAAGAAAACCGCGTATCTCCATTTTGGACGTTTTTCAGTTTTTTGACATAATTTGAAAATACCTGTTACCCTTTACATTGTACATAAATTTCATGATGAATGGATTAAAAGAAATGACCCAGAATGACTTGGAAAAAGGTCTGGTTCCATTGACTTACATTAAAAGTAAAGTATGTTTTTTCCTTCTCCTGTAAAGTTACCATTTTGGAGATACAAGGTTTTCTTCCGACAACAGCGATATGAATGTGCATTAAGGTGCTAGAGGAAATCAGCATTTTAGTTGTGGAGGTAATTTATTGAGTAAAATCGAATAATAATGCAAAAGTTTCTCCACAAAATACTTTTGTGACAAAAAATTTTTTAGATGATCACGAATGACTGTAATATACAATGATGGATGACTGAAAGTTCTTGTCCTTAAGCTGTCCATATTTGCTTGGCAACAAAGCATACTGTAAACAAACTACATTTTTCTTTCTTTTGCTCTCGGGCAGCTGCTGATTCCTCACACACAGTACACGCTGCACATTAACACACTGGGCAGAGAGAGACTGATGGCAAAGAAGGGACTTTTTAACCAGGTACAAACACATTTGAGCGATGATATTAATGACATCACAATCAAAACATAATGCATCTCTCTCTTCCTGTTGTACTTCTCTGTTATGTTCTCTCTCTCTCTCTCTCTCTCTCTCTCTCTCTCTCTCTCTCTCAGTACACTGGTGCGAGTCAAGAGGGAATGGAGCTGCTGCTGAAGAAAGATCTGGCTTCTCTGCGGTACAGCACCCTCTGTCTGCCAGATGATATCGAGGCACGTGGCTTGAAGGACATACCAAACTTCTACTACAGAGATGACGGCCAAGCAGTCTGGGACATACTAACCAAGTACCACAATTACAAGTTGTCTTAGCGATATATATACATATACATACATACATACATATATATATATATATATATATATATATATATATATATATATATATATATATATATATCACACTGTATGGACATTTGGGACACCTACATGGGCTTTTATGACATCCTATTCTAAATCCATAGGCATTAATATGGAGTTGGTCCACCTTTGCAGCTAGAACAGCTTCCACTCTTCTGGGAAGCTTTCTACAAGATTTTGTAGAGAGTCTGTGGGAATTTTTGCCAAACTCACCCAGCTGTGCCTTTATGGTCCTTGCTTTGTGCACTGGGGCTCAGTCATGCTGGAACAGAAAAGGTTCCCCAAACTGTTCCCACAAAGTTGGAAGCACAGAATTGTCCAAAATGTCTTGGTCTGCTGAAGCATTAAGATTTCCCATCACTGGAACTAAGGGTTCTAGGCCAACCCCTGAAAAACAACCCCATATCATCATCCCTCCTCCACCAAACATTGCAGTCAGGCAGGTAACGTTCTCCTGGCATTCGCCAAATCCAGTCTCGTCCATCAGACTGACAGATAGAAAAGCTTGATACGTCACTGTACAGAATATGTTTTCACTGCTCCGGAGTCCAGTGGCAGTGCTTTACACCCCTCCATCCGACGCTTGGCACTGTGTCTTTTGATCTCAGGCTTGTGTGCAGCTGCTTGGCTATGGAAACTGCTTCCAGAGGTAATTTGGAACTCTTTAGTGAGTGATTCAACAGAGGATAGACATTGTGCGGTTCAGCACTCAGCGGCCCCACTCTGTGAGTTTGCGTGTATGTCCATTTCATGGCTGAGGTTTTGTGGCTTCTAGATGTTTCAGTTTTACAATAATATCACTTACAGTTGGCTGGGGCAGATCTAGCAGGACAGATATTTCACAAACTGACTTGTGGCTGAGGTGACATCCTGTGACAGTGCCATGTTTAGGGTCAGTGAGCTCATCAGTATGACCTATTCTACTGCCAGTGTTTGTCCATCGAGACTGTAAGACTATGTGCAAAATTTGATTAATTAATTTGCAATGAGTGTAACTGAAACACCTGAACTCAGCAATTGGTGTCCCAATGCTTTTCTCCATAGTGTATGTGTGTGTGTGTGCATATTCATTTTCATTCTCTCTCTCTCTCTCTCTCTCTCTCTCTCTCTCTCTGTCTCTCTCTCTGAGGTATGTGGGAGGTGTGTTAAAGTTTTATTACTCGTCAGACACTGAAGTGGCTCTGGACACAGAACTTCAGAAGTGGATTGCAGACATCTTCGTCCACGGTTTCCTGGGAAACGAAGACTCCAGTAAGTTTTCAGGTTATTAGGTACAACTATCTTGTACCTACACTCACTGGCCATTTTATCAGAAACAGCTACCATATAGGTGCACAGTTACAGACTGTTTGCCTTTTGCTGAACAGTGTATTAACCCCTTCTACCTCATTCATTATTGGTCAGTTTCGGACCACAGGACTGCTGTTGTTCATTTGTCCCGTGGTGGATTAATCTCAGCACAGCAGTGACTCTGATATGGTAGTGTGTGCTGCTGGTACGAGTGTATCAGACACAGTGGTGTTGGTGGGGTGTCACTGCTAGGTTGAGAAAAAATCCAGACAAATGTGCCTCTGTGGCCAGATAATTGACAAAATGGTGGGACCTGAGGACCAGAACTGGGCAAACACTGAAATAAAACCACACCACACTTTTTGCCCTTCAGACATTCCAAAAGCGCTCCATTCGGTGGATGACCTGGTCAAGTTCGTCACCATGTTGATGTTCACTATGACGGCACAGCACTCTGCATTGAACAATGGGCAGGTAAAACACATATTCACACACATACACAGACTGTGACCTAAACAATTCCCAAACCCCCATTAATGTTGCACAATATCAGAGAGAACTATTTAGGTTACATGTCACATAAACATATACAAACCAGTGTGAGTTGCTTGAGTGAGAAGTTGGCTTCTTATTCATTGTAGACATGGGTGTAACATTTTGAAAAGTGCAGAGGATGAGGAAAAAGTGAAAAACTTGGCAAGGGTACACATGTCATTCTTGGTCCATGACTACAGAAACCTGAAATAAGCAGCAACTGTTTTTGCTGAATGATGAACAGCATTAGGGTCTTTGTTTTTAACTGTACAGTGCTGCTACTGTTTGTGGTGTTACTCCAAAGAGGAAGAGAGTCCAAAAAGTTACATTTAATAAACTTAATGTGTCTGTTGCATGAGTAGTGGTAATGAGAGATTCGCAGTGCACATTTGTTATGGAGTTGTGTGCATATATTTGGGCGCCCTGGAAAAATGACTGGTTTTGTTCACACATTTTCTACAGAGAACACACTTCTGCACATTTTGGTGCACGATTACTGATTATTTGCAGAATTTAACACATTGAAATAAAGCATAAAATCAGACCTATGCAAAAGTTATGGCACATTTTTATTTTGTTTTATTTTCCCCTGTTGTGTTAAACTCAGCAAATAGAGACTGTACTGTAAAACTAGCAGAAAATGCTATATATTTTAGTGTGTTCTCTGTTGAGGATGTGTGAACTTATTTTCACTTAGAAAATCAACAACACATAATTTCTCTGGGATTATTTAAAGTTGTTCATATGAATGATCTAGAGTGTCCTCTAGAGATTCCAAGTGCACGGTAGGATTTTGTAGTGCCCTCAACTCACTCTAGAATTCCTTTCTTTTCTGCAGACACTAAGAGAACAATGGCTGACATACTCAATAGTGCCCTAAAACTCAAACAGGAATCCTTTTTGGTCACTTCTACCAGATCACTAAACAACAGGAGTTTGTTTTTTTCCTGTATGCCAGCTACTGTGAAAGAACGTAAATAGAAAACGTCAAAAATACTGCAAAAAAAGCAGAAGAAAATAAGACGTTTTTGAAGAGCAGCATTGTTTGTCCACACGGTTTGTATGTTTTAAATATGATTAATTTTTGTAATGAATAAATAAGCAAAATCATGCAGGTAACCTCTCTCTGCAGCCCTCCTAGTGGCTATTCCACTGGCAGAACGGAAATGAACTTGGTTAGTTAAATTAATATGATCAAATAAAATATTTTCCCCCTATAACTCTGTGATCAGATGAACTAGAGCACTGTTGTCTCTCTGTTTGTGAAATGTTGAGCTGCTAATGAGCAATGATGGGCCCTGTACCAGTGACACCATAAACAAACAACATGTAAACACAATAAGCAGTAGAAGTAGAACTTTTAGAAATGTTGACTTGCTCTCTCAGTTCTTGCAGTTGGTTCTGGTTTTGTAAATCATACTGTAAAATATATTCCATCAATATAAATGAGGAAAAAAGGCACAGTTTAACTGATGGACCCCAGAAATGGCATTTTATGACTACTGTGCAAAGGAGTTAACAAAGAATTAGAGACTAAGTCAATAGAAATTAAGTGCACTGTTGTAGTGTGACATGCCGTTTGGTCATAGTAACTACTGTCTCTCCCTCCCTCCCTCACTCTCTCTCTCTCTCTCTCTCTCTCTCTCTCTCTCTCTCTAGTTCGATTTCGGGGGCTGGTTGCCGAACAGTCCTGTCTCTCTGCAGTCTCCCCCTCCAAGGGTCAAAGGTCACGCTACTGCAAGCACTCTGTTGCAGACACTGCCGGATGTAAATGCGTCCGTGCGGGTTATGGCTGCCACCTGGGTCCTGACCAGGAAACCAGAGGAGTTTGTGAGTTTCTCTGCAGCTTTGAGTAAAAGTTATGTAGCAGGCGCCCTCATGTGGTTTGAAGGAGAATTACCAGCAGAGCAAGTTTGCTGTGAGGAAAATATGCAAAATGCAAAACTTATACTCATATGAATGTCCTCATGTTATAGGCCTGATTTAGACTAGATTTCATCTGTATCATACCACATTATTAAAGAAACCATGTTAGGTATGGCTGTGAATTTTGTATTTTTAGTATTTTGTTTGAGATTAGACCATTTTTAATTGAATCATAGTAACATCTGAAGTATTGTTAAAGAAGTGATTACAGACATTAATACATCCCTTTTAAAACTAGCAAATCACAGTGCTATTGAAGCATCCAGGAAAGCTAATATTGCTCACAGTTGATGGAAATAAACAGCTGCTTAGTGCAAATGCCACCATTCTAACTAGTGTCTGCTAGCTTCCATTCACTGTTAGCCACATTAGCATATCGCTCAACTACTTCTTCTTGAAGTTGTACAACCGTTCTCCTGCTTTCTCATCTCAGGTATCCCTGGGTAACCACTCGGAGCAGTACTTCACCGAGCCTGATGTTGTGGCTCTGGCTACCGCCATGAAAGATGAGCTGAAGGAACTGAGTGAGAAAATAAAGAAGAGGAATGAGGGAAAGGAGCTGCCCTACTGCTACCTGGACCCGGCTGAGATCGAGAACAGCATCGCCATCTGACCAACACCTGTCAAGATGCTGGTTGTGATTCCACAACGTTAGTGCCAAATTTTGGGACATAATAATTAATTTAAAAATTAATGTCAAGAAATGAGACTTTTTTGTCCTCCATAGTTTTAACTGCCTATTGAAATAGATTTTCCTACCTCAGTAAGCTTATTTATGTATTTTTTATTTATGTATTTATTTATTTTTAACCAAATATCACTGAGAAGTACAACCCCTCATTGAGCTTATGACGGGATGTAATATTTCATGCAAAACTGGCTGCCATGCTCACTGTTAGAGTTAGACCTTCTAATATAATTTTTTTGCATCAGTAAATTGCATAAATTTTCTATAAATATTGCAAAAAAGAGTAACACTTTGCTTGAACCCTGCAACATAACATTGACATAACCATATCATAAACATGTCATGGCAGATTATGAGATCGTGAGATTGAGATTGTGTTCAGAAATGTGACAGTATCATGTTACCATCACTTTTAACTGTCATCACAGATGTCATAATGTCATAGCAGCTTATGTGACGTTATTTTTTGCTGATAAAGACACCTGTCATTGGAATTACTGGTGATGGTAGAATGACACTGATGTATTACTGAACACAATCTGTTATGACATGGTCATTACAAGGTTATGTCACTGTTATGTAGCAGAGATCAAGTAAAGTTGACTGAAAACTGTTTTTTCTGCCCTTTCTGTGTGATCTTGTAGACATTCTATGCTTGACACACCTCTCCTTTTTAGGATAGAGAAATTCTCTGTCACTTACTCTTCATCATGTCACATAATGTGGTACTACATTATTTTACTGCTAAATCAGTTGGTGTGACAGGGTGGGAAGCAAAACTTAAGGGTGCTGATAAATTACTATATTACTATTTTTATGTTCAATTAATTAGCAGGCCTATGCAAAACTTTGGTCAAATGACATGTGAAAATATTTTTTTTTATGGAGAACGGATTTAAAAGTGACATTTTCCGGTACAATTTATATTTATTAAAAAAATAATAAATAGAAAGTGCCATAACTTTTGCATAGGCCACATTTTGTGCTTTGTCCAACATGTTAAATTCAGTAAATAAACAGTAATGTGCAGGATGTGTCTATAGAGGATGTGTTAAAGTCAATGTGAATCGGGAGTCAGAATGCATTTTTCTTCTTAACATATTTCTGTTTCTAAGTGAAATAGAATAATTAGACACAAATACCTGTGGGCTGGACATGATATAACTCCTCAGGATTTGAAAAAAGTTTAGACATATTTAGAAAAGTGTAAATAATGTCAGATATTTTTACTCACTTGTGTTAAAATGAACACAGGTTGTTATTGTAAACAAAGTGAGGTAACTCATAAACTATTATTTTAAAACTGGGCCAAAACTTGAAAGTAAGAGAGTAAAGCGATGAGAAGACAAGAGGTCATCCGCAAACATACATGTATGTGCAGCTGCTCAATGATTGGTCAAGACTGTGGGACACAGAGGGATAGTGTAATTTTTCCCTGCCACTGTAACACAGAGACGCAACCAAACGCCATTTAGAGGCGGAAAAGTCGGTATCCTTCCATCAATGATTATAGAGAAAAAAGAATGTTCTCTTTTGAATGATATGACAGTGAATTGTGTTTAATGTGACTATGATAGAAATTTGTCAATTTTGATTTAAGTTTGACTTTCATTTTGACTTCAGTGAAAGGTTTATAGAATATTCAAGTTATACCATTTTGAAACATTCCACAATAAGCTGGTGAATTTGTAACAGATGTTATGGGTATGTTTGGATATAAAAGGAGAATCCACCAAAGGATCACTCTTGGCAAGCAAAGATGGGTCGTGGCTCATGACTTTGTGCCAAGTTTTGTAAGAGAATTGTCAAACAGTTTAAAAAGAACATTTTGCAATGCAAAATTGCAATGAAGGTCCATCACTTACTGTACAGAATATTGTGAAAAGATTCAGGCAGTCTAAGAGAAATCTCAGTCCATGTAGGGCAAGGCCTGATTGTGCATGGCCTCAGATGGCACTGCATGAGAAACTGTAATGTGACTGTGTTTAAGTACTTTGGAAAACTGTTGTCACTTAACACTGTCTGCTGTTGCATCAAGAAATGCAACTTGAAACTCTTAAAGCTATTAAGCAAATAGAAGGCCATAAAGCAATTCTATACAGAAACACCGCCAAGTTCTCTGGGCCAGAGCTCATGTTCAGATGGTCGGAAAGACAGTGGAAATGTGTGCTGTGGACAGATGAGTCCATGTTTCAGCTTGTTCTTGGGAAAAATGGACATCAAATTCGTGCACCAAAGATGAAAGGCACCATTCAGACTTTTATCAGCAAAAGATGCAAAAGCCAACATCTGTCAGGCATGGGGGGGTGCATCAGTGGCCATGGCATGGGTGATTAGTCTATGTGTGAATGTACCACTGATGTGAAGGCATATATTGGGACTTTAGAGACATACATGCTGCCATCAAGATGACGTCCATGATTATTTCAGCAAGATAGTGCCAGGTCTCATTCTGCACATCAGCGTGACTTCATAAATACAGAATGTGTGCTTGACTGGTCTGCCTGCAGTCCAAATCTGTCTTCTATTGAAAATGCACATCATGAAGAGGAGAATCAGATAATGATGACCATGGACAGGCAGCTGACATGGACGATGACCAGGACGAGCAGCTGAAGTCTTTTATTAAGCAAGAATGGCCAAAAAAGTTTTTGTGTATGTGTCAGGCATGAAATTCTAAATTTAATGAAAATACTGGAAATCTTTTATTTGTATTTTTGTTGATTAAATATATGTTCAAGAGAATGCTAAAACACAGATTCTTTCATTTTACAAAATGAAAAATAATATATATACATATTTTGCCAGTGATGCTTCTATAATTTGGCATCCCTAATGCTAGTTTTGGTTATATAGTGGGGCCCAAAAGACTGAGGCCACTTTGAAAAACTGGATGTTTTTCAGTTAAACCGGGAAATAAACAGCAGAAAGTTTTAGAATTTTATAGAACTTCTAGATTCTGCACTTTTTTTTAGGTAACTGAAATTGAAATTTAAGCAACTTTGAGACATTGACAATGTTGAGGCCTTTGTAAAAAAAAAGTTTGATTTTGTCAGGTTGTGGTTCCGTCTTAGATATGTTGATTTCCCGTTTTCAGTCTGCAGTGGTTTGAACAGGAAGTGTACAGGAAGTGTAGAGTACTTCAGACTTATTTCAGCAGATTTTTGTTGTTGTACACTCCTTAAGACATGTTTGTATTCTTTAGCTGATTAATCTATATTTTAAAAGCTGTTTTAAATTTTTCAACAGTTTTTCAACAAAGTTGACAGGCAAAACCATCTTTCCTGCATACAGCCCACAGCCAGATATGGTTCCTATAGTACTTTGAACTTTGATACTAGGTGGAACTCATTTTACTGTCTGAGGAAAAAAAAACATTTAAACTGGATGTTTTTCAGTTAAACCGGGAAATAAACAGCAGAAAGTTTTAGAATTTTTAGAACTTCTAGATTCTGCACTTTTTTTGTAGGTAATTGAAATTGAAAATTTAAGCAACTTTGAGACATCGACAATGTTAAGGCCTTTGTAAAAAAAAGTTTGATTTTGTCAGATTGTGGTTCCGTCTTAGATATGTTCTTAGATTCTTTAGCTGATTAATCTAAATTTTAAAAGCTGTTTTAAATTTTTCAACAGTTTTTCAACAAAGTTGGCAGGCAAAACCATCTTTCCTGCATACAGCCCACAGCCAGATATGGTTCCTATAGTACTTTGAACTTTGATACTAGGTGGAACTCATATTACTGTCTGTGGAAAAAAAAAACATTTAAAGATGTATGTAAAGATGCATGAACCTCTTCAATGGAGCATCTTGTGTGAAATCCTAAACCTGTTGGTTTTGTTCATTTTATTTCACTTTTACCAACTTGATATGACATGTCAGTCTACACAGTGCGTCATTGAATGTGAACAGAAACCACACTTCCTCTCCTTTACTTTCAGTTTTGAGTGTGGTTTATATTCTTGAGCCATTTTCAGTGGCACATCTTTTGATTCATGGCCAAAGCTCACTGCCTTCGTATTAACGAGATCTGGACTAGTGCGCATTCATGCATTTCTCATGTTTCTTTAGTTTACACATCTCATTGATAAGCACTGAAGAAATGCCTTAGGGAATGGCTTCAATGACATCGTCTTGTGCTGTTTGCTGCACATAACCTGCTTGTGTCTTACTGAAGACGGTTCCAACTTTTATCAGGTGAGTAGAAATAATACAATAATGTTAACTTTATTCCTCAGAGTGTACGAGTTGTTCTACTATATAAAAAATGTTACTCTGAATTATTTAATATAGCATCATTATTAAGCCATTTGGTGAGATCAAATATAGGAAAGAAGAGCTAAAACAGTTAAAACATCTACCATCTAATATCTAGTTATCCGTTATCTGGATTGCCTTCTTGAAACTTAAACATAACACCAGTGAAGGGGCAGGAATCTCACTTGCATCGAAGAGCGTGGTTGGAAAGACAGATAGTTCCAGTTTAGTGAAATGTAAAGCAGGTTAACCGTGAAGCATAACATTTTTCATATGAAACATATTTGAAATAAACAGGTTCTTCAGAGAAATCTAGTGTAAGAGTAGTATAAGAAGAGCACTATGTGGAAAACTTTGCACTTCTTCTCATACTAGCCAGAAAAAAACCCTCAGTTTCACTTCACTAAATGTTAAGTTTAAAGAAGGAAGGCAATTTGTTCATTCCAGGTCTTAGTTAAGGTCGTGCAGACTTGTCAATGTGGTATAGGCAAAGTGTGACTGCGAACCATAGAAATGAACAAACTTTGATGAACGCAATTTTGGTGCAACAGTTGTTGTCTAAACAGCTGACTGCAGTGCTTAGGTCAGCAGTCAGGTTTTCTATCCATCTTCTAAACCACATCAACAAATCTGTGTTCCCTTAATGAAGACCTGGATGCAGTTTGAGAGAAGTTTTGCCGATGTATTTATGGAAAACATTTGGGTGTGTATTGACATCTACTGTTTGTTTTGTTAGTCTTGGCTGATTGATTACATCTGGCGTCAGTGGAAAATTGTGTAAATTTGATTTTTTTATTAATTGGACCAAGGAAATTATCATATGTGACTGTATATGTTTAGTACTCAATTTCAACCTCTCAAAAATCTCTCAAAATAGTGCTAATGTTTTTTCTATAAACACATCATATTCTAAACCACCTGTGGTATCATTGTAAAGAATGATCAATTGTATAAAATGTTTCTTTGTCACATTATCAGTAAATGTTTATAATTTTTCAGTTGTGTTTCTGTTCGTTGGCTTACAGCTTGTTTTTAGCCCTCTGACATGAGTCACTCTGAAGTGAGAGACATAGAAGATTCAGTGAGGTAAGAGGCTTTCAGTAAACTGTGTCTATGAAACCCAGTCAGTCAGTACTCTTTGCTTTACACCCTTTACAGTAGAAGACATCTTGCATTTTTGGGACATTTCAAGGCCTTGTGTTATGTTTTATAATACTGTATAATGCTTGTAATGCTTAGAACATTTTAACCCCTCAAAATCCCAGGCTTATTACATACTAAGGCTCATTAATCAGTAACTACAGGGATTTCAGCGCAAACTGTCTGAGGTATTCTAATAAAAAGGTATGTGTAATAAAACTTTGGGCCTGTTTTATAACTGTATTTATGTGACATGAAACAAAACACTGTGATGGCCACATATAAAGAATATGATACAAGTGTGAGGAGCATCATTAAAATGAAATGTACCCTGCACCCCAAAATATTTTGTAGGGCTAAATTGGAAAGCTTTTCAGTTGTATAGTAAAAATGTGCTATGATTTCACAAAAACAGTAAGATAGACTTATTGCAAACATTAAATATTAGCCTAACACAAAATGTCACATTATACATGAATTAGAGGATGGATAAGCTAAGTGCTTTTATGCTGGAGTTTCTTTGCTGGATGTGGTTAATATGCCAAATGTACTACATGAGCCTGTGAATTTGATGTTGTTGACTTTAGATGAACCATGCTATATAACATTGACATAATCATGCCATAAGCATGTCATAGCAGATGTCGTATGCTGTCATGACAGATTAAGTTCTGTAATATAACAGTGTCATGTGACCATTCCCCTTAATTGCCATGACGTCATAAAATTCGATGTAATGACAACTACAGTTGACTTAGCATAAACGTTTCACAAGCTCTTACGACATTTAACATTATGACATCTGTCATGACAGTTACTGGTATCATTAACATAACAGTGTTATATTACTGAACATAATCTGTCACGACAAACCAAGACAGCATATGATAACTGCTATTACATGTTTATGGCACGGTAATGTCAGTGTTATGTAATAGGGTGCAAGTAAAGTGTTACTGATGTTCTAAACAAGTGCAATAAGAGTGTAAGGCAAAACACATTAAAAAATGAGTGAGAACTGAATGGGTAGCAGGTGAATTTGTGCTCACTGTAATAGTTACTAGCTTCTAATAGCTAAGTCAGACTTCAGTATCCTTTGTGTTCTATGATGAAAGTGTTTCAATGTGGTATTGACATCTAGATGCCTATCTATGAAGAGTAACCAATCAATGGATCCTCCCATAACCTTAAAAAAGGGAGAACCTGCTCTGTTCAGGTATGGATAAGAATTTGACCCTTAAAGTTCAACAGAACCAAACAATACTTGTTAAATGCCATGTATTTAGTCATATTTTGTGATCTGGTAATTTGTTATTATGGCATCTTTTGACTTGCTGCTCATATCTTAGTCAGAAGAGGAGATCAGACTTATCAGAGCATAGCTATGTGTCCATGGAGAGTGCCTGGTCAATGAACACCCCTGAAAGGTTCACAGAGGGAGCTTTTTCTACTGAGTGGAGGTAAAACTTATTTAAAGAAATATAAATAAAAAATATTATTTTCATCAGTGCCATAATTAATGTAAAGTTATGTTAAGTTTATTTCACTGAGGCTGAGTCTGGAGTACTAGAACATTAATAGCTCATTCCATGCCAGCTCACCTAGGGCCTATCAGGTCACCTCATAGATTTCCACAATAATTTGAGCAAAACTTCCATTTAATTTATGCACCCATGCCATGTTTTTTAAAAACTGTGCTCAAAATAACTTTTAAACTATGAATTTCTAAGGAACAGTAATTTAGCCATACTCACCTCATAACTTGGAGTGGCACAGTTTTTATGTTCTTGTCCTGCAGTGGACAACCTGAAGCAATAAAGACATCATATGGAAAACATCTGGAGTCAATATTCCAGGTACATTAATGGGTCTTTAAACCTAAACAACAGGATTTTTGGTATTATTGATTAATATCCACCAACGTCTTTATGATAATTCCTCTGTTGAACCTGAGCCTTAAGAACTGTGTTTCATTTTAGGAACTTGAACACAAGGTCATCTCTTTGGTGAAGGGTGAACTGAATAGATTTAAGAAGCTGCTGAGACCAGATTATTCAGAATGCTGTGAGAGAGAGCCAGAGGAGCAGGAGGATCAAAGTTGTGCTAGACAAGCGGCACTGAAGATCACACTGCACATCCTTAAGATTATGAACCAGTCAGACCTTGCTAATACTTTATTGACCAGTAAGTGCTTTTTTATTATACTACTGCATTTACATTTTGACCATAGACAGTTGATGGCAAACTGGATATTCCATTGCTTCCAAAGGAGTAGTGACTATGACAGCAAACCACAGCTGTTACCAAATATTTGTCCAAAGTTACTTCACTTTTTATTTCACAGTGAAATAAACCAGCTGCTGATATTTTGGGAATCATGAAGGCAAAAGTCTCATTGTTAATTCCAGGTGCACTCAGTATTGTAGAACTAAAAATCTATATAGAGCGTCCTGCAGACTTTTCTCTATACTACACCCTTTAAAATGATTCTTCAAGGGTTCTTTAGGAAAGATAATGGTTCTATGTAGAACCATGAACAATTAAATAACCATTTGTATGCTTAAATGATTCTTTGCATGGTGAAATGGTTCTTCAGATAGATGGACAATGGGTTTTATATTTCTGTATAGAACTTTTTTGAATATGGTTTTCAAAACCATTTTCGGTACTGTATACAACCATATTCAAAACATTCTCCATCAATCTAAAGAACAGTGCAAAGAACGCTTCAGGCATATAATTGGTTCTTTGAGTGCTCATGGTTCTATGTAGAACCATTGTTTTTACTAAAGAACCCTTTTTAAGAGTGTACATTAACAATCAATACTGCTAAAGCTGTCCTTTGAAAATCACCCCTTTTTTGCTTTTTTTCATGGCTACATGCCACTGTCAGTCGTGTTACTCTTTGTCACGATATGTTACATTTAATTTCCTTCCTAATTTGTTGTGAGCTCATAGAATATATTTGGTCATACTAAAAATATACTAACACTTTTAATTGGTAATGTCTTTCTCTGTTTGTCAGAACTAGCACCTGTGGCTTACAAAAAAATCAAATCAAAACTAAGGAAAAAGTTTGAAATGATTAATGAAGGAATCTCAAAACAAGAAAATTCAGCACTTCTGAATGAGATCTACACAGAGCTCTACATCACAGAAGGTGAGAGTGGGGAGGTCAATAATGAACATGAGGTCAGACAGATTGAGACAGTATCCAGAAGACCAGCAGCACAAGAGACACCCATCAACTGCAATGACATATTTAAACTCTTAACTGGACCCAACAAACCAATCAGAACTGTACTGACTAAAGGAGTTGCTGGGATTGGCAAAACAGTCTCAGTGCAGAAGTTCATTCTGGACTGGGCTGAAGGAAAAGCAAATCAGGATGTCCATTGTATATTTCCACTTCCTTTTAGGGAGCTGAATTTGATGAAGGATAAAAAGCTCAGTTTGATGGATCTTCTTCACTACTTTTTGACAGAAACTAAAGATTTAAGATTGAGTCACAATGATTTCTATAAAATCTTGTTCATTTTTGATGGTCTGGATGAGTGTAGACTTCCTCTAGATTTCCAGAAGAATGAGAACTTGTCAGATGTGACAGAGGTGGCTTCAGTGGATGCGGTGCTGACAAACCTCATCAATGGAAATCTGCTTCCTTCTGCTCTTCTTTGGATCACCTCTCGACCAGCAGCATGTGGTCAGATCCCTTCTATGTTTGTTGACCAGGTAACAGAGGTCCGAGGGTTCAGTGACCCTCAGAAAGAGGAATACTTTAGGAAGAGGGTCAGTGACCAGAGTCTGGCCAACAGAATCATCACACACATGAAGTCCTCAAGAAGCCTCTACATCATGTGCCACATACCTGTCTTCTGTAGGATTGCAGCCACTGTTCTAAAGAAAATCTTGAGTCAAGCAGCAAGTGGAGAGATCCCCAAGACTCTGACTCAAATGTTCACACATTTCTTGTCCTTGCAGACCAGACGGAGCAGTATGAAGTACCAAAGAAAATCTGAAAATTCTCCTAACCATATCAGAAAGCATATTATGACACTGGGAAAACTGGCATTTCAACAGCTGGAAAAAGGCAACCTGGTATTCTATGAGGAAGATCTCAGGTTATGTGGAATTGATATCACTGAAATGTCAGTCTACTCAGGACTGTGCACCCAAATCTTTCGAGAAGAGCTTGGGCTGCACCTGGGGAAAGTGTTCAGCTTTGTGCATCTGAGTGTTCAGGAGTTTCTTGCAGCTTTATATGTGCTTGTCTCATTCACCAACAAAGATGTTCTAGAAATGCAAGTCATTGAGCACACTGGCTTCTTAAATAAGGCAACGCTGTCTGAGTTTCTTAAGAGTGCAGTGGACAAGACCTTACAGAGCAAGAATGGACACTTGGACCTTTTCCTCCGCTTCCTTCTGGGTCTTTCCTTGGAGTCTAATCAGGCTCTGTTGCAAGGCCTACTGACACAATCAGGAAGCAGCTCACACAAAGAGGAAACAGTCAAACACATCAAGAAGAAAATGAAGTTGAATCCTTCTCCAGAAAAATCAGTCAATCTGTTCCACTGTCTGAATGAACTGAATGACCATTCTCTAGTGCAGGAAGTCCAAGCATATCTGAGTGGTAGTGATGACAGTTGCCTCCAGGGAGTCAAGCTATCTCCTGTTCAGTGGTCAACTATAGTGTTTGTGTTGCTGAACTCTGAAGATGAGCTGGAGGAGTTTAAACTGAATAAATATGACCCATCAGAGGAATGCCTTCAAAATTTATTGCCTGTGGTCCAAGTATGTAGGAAAGCTCGGTAAGTAGTTCTCAATTTGATTCTCTAATAGGATAAATGCCTTTACAGAAATCTTAATGACCATTTACTATTATTACTCAAATGTAAGAAATATGAAATAGTTGCTCAATTCTTTTGTGTAGTGTGATGTCTGTAAGTGTTCAATGGTACAGTGAGACAGTTGGAGAAGCAGTCAAATTGTTTTGTTGATATTATTGAGTTAGGTCCTTGGCTATGCCACAGCCATATGTAGTGACAGTTATCATTCTCCTCTATGCGTCTTGATCTGTCCAGTGATGTTTCATTCGTGACACTTTGAAAAGATGTGGTGGCACTTCACATGTCTTGGAGATAGAATGTGGTAGCATTGTGTGAAAAGCTAGCCAATTGGACATAACTAAAATTGTGGAGAAAATGGGTTAGAAAATAAAAATAATAATAAAAAGCCCATTGGAAAAGGGCTCATATACATTATGGGCCTTTTTGTTTTGTTTGTTTTTTGATGGAATCATCAGCTATTTTGGCCTGGTCTCTCTTGTAAAAGTGATTCTTTAAGCTCAATAGGACCTCTTGGTAAAATAAAGGAAAATTATGTTATTGTTCTGATCTTAATTTCTCTCTCAGGCTTAGCAATTGCAATCTTACTGAGAAAAGCTGCAAAATTCTAGCCTCAGCTCTCAGCTCAAGCACCTCAAATTTAAGGGAACTGTATCTTAGTAACAATGATCTGCAGGATTCAGGAGTGAAGCTGCTCTCTGCTGGCCTGCTGAATCCACACTGTAAGCTAGAGACACTAAGGTAAGATTATCACTTATCCATGGTCCATTATTAAGATTGTCTCATCAGGAGAATCCTCTGGTGTCCAAACCTAAAGTTTGCACTAAAAACCTATAAAAACTACTGAAATATGGTACACTTTACATTCTACGGGGTGATTTCAAAAATATTAATCTGATTTCAAAGCGCCATATTTTCACAACTGTGAGGCACCTAGGAACCAATCACATACCAACTGAAAGAGGGGGTCATAGAGTTTCTGACTGTCAGTGGAAGATGGCTCCCTTCAGTCTGCGAGGAGATGGTGACCCCTGAGCAGAATCCGTCATAAATGTGCAGCATGTTTTTCATTGGCAGTGAACCTCCAACCTCTAAAATCACATTGAAAGGGCTGTGAGTACAGTGACACCCGACATGCTCAATCGAGCATGGCATGAATTTGACTATGGCGTTGATGTTGTCCGTACAGCTGGAGGAGGTTCATATTGAGCACTTGTAAAATTACATAATAAACTTTATACTCAATTAAACCATTTACAATGTACTGCATTGTTCTGTAATGATTTACAAGTGAAATGAATCATTTTGAAATCAGATGAATCTTTTTGAATCACCCTGTAAGATACATGGAATATGTATGGAAATTAGTAACTTCGGTGCAGTATATGCTCACAGCCCTTTCCCTCTTTATGTTAAAATAACTTTTGATGGATTTAAGCAGATGGCACCTCAGGTATGATAAGCTGATGTACCAGTCAGTTCTCAGTCAGTAAAATTGGAAAAAGATAATTTGAAAGAAACAACCAATTATTTACATGCCACCTGGTTGCCTAAACATTTCTGTTTCATGTAGCATCTAGCATTAAGAATATCTCTGACTTCATTCATTCAGGTATTTTGTGTTTATTTCCAATTAACGTGATATTATATATATCTCCTAGCCTGAATGGTTGCAATCTTACTGAGAGAAGCTGTGGAGTTCTGGCCTCAGTACTCAGCTCAAATACATCATGGCTAAAAGAGCTGGATCTGAGTTACAATGAACTGAATTCTGGTATGAAGCAGTTGTCTGCTGGACTGGAGAATCCACACTGTAAATTGGAGAGACTAAGGTAAGACTTTCTATTCCTACATTGGCATTGGCATATTTTGAACAAAAACTTGCTGCTTTGTGGTTTGATGACATATTCTTTGTTTCAAACACTGTTGCGAAGTGACAAGGCAAATAAAAATTTGGATTTGCTCACAGTGTATGTGTGTGTGGTAATCCTTCAAATTAGTTAAGCTAAATTAGTTAGCTAAGGGGTCACAGTTATCCAAGCTTGCTGTAACTCTCTTTTTCTACAATGGGTCTCGGACACAACACACACTGTAGATTTCTTTAGATGCTCCAGATTTTTGTCAATACTTGCATTTGTTTGGAGATTTTAGATGCATCAAGCTGTAATTGTAGGGAATTCTCTCTCTGTGCAGCCTCTATAACTGTAACATGGACGAGGAAGACTGTGCTGCTCTGATTTCAGCTCTGAAATTAAACCCCTCACAGCTGAGAGAGCTCAATCTGGGCTTGAACAAACTAGGAGAAGCAGGAGTGGAACAGCTCTCTGCTCTACTGGAGGATCAAAATTGCAAACTGGAGAAATTAAAGTGAGTGACAGACTTAAATATGCAAACATTATATCTATAATACTTTTTCTGTGCTGTAAGCTGACTTTGGGAAAGGAATGGAAGAAGATATTTGCTTGATAAGCTTGATTTAGTTCCTTTGTCTGTTTCTGTGATCCCATTTTCATTACAGTGCTCAACCACACATAAAATATTGCATTAATTGGACATGAGCCACTGATAATTCAGGCTTCCATTTCAACTTTTTATAACTTAAGAAGAACTCAGCTAGTTTGCATTGTTTACTATGTAATTATTGAATCATAAGCCTTACATTGTAATAAGCCTATGAATTTTAAGAGTTTAAAGTTAATGTTGCGTCAAGTGCATGATGACTGGGGTGGGGGGAAAATTGATTCTTAGATGCATCGTGATGTGGATGTGGACGATTCTGAATCAATTCACAAATGTCAAAAATTTATTTTCTAAATATTTAATTTATAACATTATGTTGATGGAACACAGTCTGTGGCAGTACATAACAAAAACACAAGTGGATGAGCAAGAAATCTGACCAGCACCCTCTGCATTAAAAGCTAGGTTAAGTAAGGACAACCCAAATGTTAAGAAAAGCCATTTTGTCCTTTCAACAAAAATCAGACCACATTGGAAGCCACAACATTTAATGTCCAATATGTCTCTGTATGTGATAATGTCGTAGTATAGGTTAAACAATAATAAACAAAAACGCAGACTTACTTTGCTTTCCTCCCATCTCCGCCAGAAAACTTTTCTTCAAAAGTAGAGCAGCTTATTGTAAAATATCTCTCAACTTTCGACGTTGGACCAGAAAAATTCGGAAGAGAAGCCAACTTCACCTTTGCAACTTTTTAGTGTTTGACAGTCTCTCATTGCAGATTTAACATACCAGGAAACCAACTGCATTGCTTATAAATGCAAATAAGTCCATTCGTCTCCAAATGTAAAATATTTTGGAAACGACAAACATGAGAAACCATATTGCATGTTTCCACCTGTTTTCTTACTGGTTATACTTGCTGCCAACCAGAGGACCATCGAGCAAGCAATGTCAAAGCTTCCACCCAACTCGAAGGTGAAATACAAATTCCATCAAAACTTTTATTGCCAAGGATTTGCAACATCCATTGTCACCGTAACTGCATTTTATCACAGAATGAGAGCCTTCCAGTTCATTTGCCACATCACTTCCATTTAATTTATTAATAAAAGATATTGGAAGTAAATTAATTATGGATCATTACAAGTACTTTGCTTTGAAAGTACCAAGTCCTCACACAGTGAAAAAAAAGAAATTCTGTATAGAAAAAAGATGCATCAAGATGCATCGATAATCGTTTTATAATTGCATTGCAGCCCTCTGAATCATATTTGAATCAAATAGTGAGGTGCCTAAAGATTCCCACCCCTAATGATAACTTTATTTTGTGTATTGATCACCATAGATGATAAAGAGCAAATGGGGAAAAGCTTTCTTTTTCTTACCACAGGTTGTTCAACTGCAGTATTAGTAAGGAAGGCTGTGCTGCTCTGGTTTCAGCTCTAAATTCAAACCCGTCACATCTAACAGAACTTGATCTGACATGGAACACAGTAGGAGATTCAGAAGTGAAGCTGCTGTCTGTTTTAAAGGGGAATCCACACTATAAACTGGAGAAACTACTGTGAGTTACAGTCATACCTTGTCTTTTACTTTAGAATATCAAACATGCTTGACATTTATGTTAAAGGGAGACTTAAAATTTTACCAGACAGAAAAAAACTTAATCCAAGGGTGTCCAATCTTATCCATAAAGGGCTGGTGTGGCTGCAGGTTGTTATTATTAATTATGTCTGATTGTGTGTTACAGCCTCCATGTACCTGAACAAATGAGAAACTTGGACAAGAAGGGCAGTCAGCGAAAATACTATCAATAACTGAATAACTATATATATATGTGTGTGTGTGTGTGTGTGTGTGTGTGTGTGTGTCTGCAATACCTTTGATTGTCAATATATCTCTTTGAAAAGCTTTATTAAAACTGGATTAATTTGTCTATAGTTTTTTTTCATGTCTCCTCAGTGACAAAACTCTCAGATTCAGAAAGCAATAAAATTATCACACAACTGTGTTTCTAGTGGATTGTATTTGCTATGAACCCAAATGTTTGCATCACTCATGGTCATGAGATCATGCTCTATTTAATATACATATTCAATATAATTTCCATGTAACAATATCACTCTTGTTGGAAGAAAACCTCATCTACAAAATGGTAACTTTACAGGAGAAGGAAAAAACCTACTTTACACTTAATGACTCTTAAAGTCATCGAGGGCCGATTCGTTTTGTCCATTCTTCATGTAATTTATATTTATTTTCAAATTATGTCAAAAACTGAAAATAGGAGATATAGGTTTCTTCTGACAGCAGCGATATACACCAACCGGCCACTTCATTAAAACCACCTCCTTGTTTTTACACTTGTCTATTTTATCTTTTTTAGGTGCACTTTGTAGTTCTACAATTACAGACTGTAGTCCATCTGTTTCTCTGCATACTTTGTTAGCCCCCTTTTATATGTTTTTCAGTTGTCTGGACCACCACAGAGCAGGTATTATGTGGGTGGTGGATCATTCTCAGCACTGCAGTTACACTGAAGTGGTGGTGGCGTGTTACTGTGTTGTGTTGGTATGAGTGGGTCAGACGTAGCTGTGTTTTTTAACACTGTCCCCTCACTGTCCACTCTATTAGACACAATTTTATTGTTGGTCCACCTTGTAGAAAGTCAGAGAGAGTAGCTGATGTGTTGCTGCTCAGTTTTTTGTTAGTCATCCTCTAGTCATGTTTAGTGTCATTACAGCTTATGTCAGATACTAATATTTGTGTGTGCAGCAGTTAGCCATGATGACATCAAATATTATGACAATCTGTCATGGCAATTACTGGTAATGGTAACGTAACATGGTTACATTACTGAATACAACTCATGACAGCATATTACTGCTATGACATGTTTATGTAGCAGGTTCAAGTGAAGTGTTATCCAGATTTCTGTTTAAGTTCTTAATTACTTTGCTAATAATCAAATATTGCAGCAGATACATTTAGAACCTTTATTCACAGGGCAGATGATAACATTGTACACTGAAAAATGTAATGCACTGAATTGAACATGATTCAAATGTGTACATCATTTCCACATGAATAAAATTAGTACATTAATATAGTTTTGTTTTTTAGTTGACTTTCTTTGGGCAATAATTGATGTCTGGTTGGATCAAGTAAATTAAATGAGTGTGTTTACATGCACTTAATAATCTGATAACTAAAGAAAATCAGATTGCTTCATTAATCAGATCAACATGTCTACATAGCTGAGATGGAGAAACTCTGCATCTACATGAGTCAGGCAGTAATTGGATTTCTGCTATGCAACCAGCCAATAAACTCATAGTAGAAGACGTGACATAAACATAATATAAATCTCAAACGTCATGCTGCATCTTTTTTTAAAAACATTGTGCCACTGAAAATATGAACATACATCATCTAGAAGATATGTATGTTCATATCTAAATCACATTTAAATCCTTCATTTCGTGGTTTCAATGTTGCAGCCATCTCACAGCAATGCTGCTTACTTATTTCTGGTAACATGGTAATTTTTCACACATGCTCAGACTGAGAAATCAGAAAGAAATCAGAGTAAGAGTTTACATGTGCTGACAAATGCGATTACTGAGCTAAAATCCAGCCTCTTTATTGGATTTGTTAATCATGCTTTTTCAAAGAGTGTGCTGTTTACATGACCATTTGAATAATCAGATAACTGCAAAAATTATTGATTATGATTGTATTATTGAGTGCAAGTAAACATGCTCAGTGTGAAATGCCCATGCTGTGATCTGACACTTTTAATCTAAGCTAAGGATAGTTTTGTTCATTTTATTAGGACTGATACTCTCTTCACTGTTTATATATATTTTGTGGCCTGCTGTAACTTTTAGAACAGCATAGCAACAACAGCTCTGGGTAAAATCCTTTTAACTGAGGTTGAACTTAAAGATAATGACCACAAGATGGTGTGCTACCTTAAACAAGGCCGCAGGACTGAGCTAAGGAAAGCTTATTCATGACTACAAAAGTTGTATTTACTCCAGCCAGTGTATTTTTGTGAGTGTGGAAGGGATCCTACTTTTGTTCCCTTTTTGTTTTATTTTCAGCAGAATTATTTTAGTTAAATAAGCCAGGAAACGGTACATTTTTTACCAAAAGCGCTACTGTCTGATAAACAAAAGGGGATCAATAGACTCCCATTAGTAAACTGCCCTGAAAAATATTACTGAATTAAATTTCTATCATAAACACACCAAGTTGTTCACTTTTGCTGGCTAGCTAGCATTAATGGTAGGTACTAGCTATAAAAAATCATTGGCCATGATGCAGTGGAATTCTACATTTTTAGCCATTATTTTGGAGTTTATGAGTTATTATTTAAGAGTTTATGTGCAGGTTTTGCACAACTTTTTAATTTCATTGTGTTCTGAAAGTCAAAGAAAGCACAATATCATGCTAGATACAGTAGGTGTACTTAGTAAACAGGCAACTGTAGTGTATGTTGAATTTCAGTGAGTACATACGACCAAACATTTGCTCAAAAAATCATTTTCTACTCACTGTAGTGCAAAAAGCAAAAAGAGTTTCTTGGCATGTGGTATCATTAGACATACATGTGCAAGCTGAATCTGACACCTTTACCTCCTGTTGAGAAGATGAAGGTGGCTAGCTACAGTGATACTGTAAGTAGTTCAAAGTACCATGATCAAAGCCAGTGACCTTCATATCTTCTCCGTGGACACATGGGTTATAAGTACTATTTGAACAGGATTATTTTTAATAATAATGGAGGTGGTATAAATGAATTTTTACCATTGTTTCTCAGTGAATTTAGTCCTGTCTAAATCTGACATCAGTCATTTTTTCTTCACACTCCCAAATTAGTAAAGACACTACTGCATTTACTCACTATGTAACAAAAACTCTTATATAGCAAGTAATCCTGTGCAATAAAACTGTCCTGTACTATAAAGCAATTTATAGAAATAAACCTAGATTATGGTAATCCTGTGTTATATATAAAACATGCAATAGAAATAAGACCAGATTGTAGTAATCCTGTTTTATAAACATACTCTAGGAATAACCCCAGATTTTAATAATCCCATGCTATAAAACAAATTGTAGGCATAACTCAAGGAGATTTTAACCTATAACCTAGTGCTGTAAAACAGAACATAGAGAAATAACGCCAGGTTATATTAATCTTGCGCAAATTGCCATGTTATACAGTAATATAGTAATATAGTTCTTGTATTCACATTTCAAAACATTAAAACATACACAATGATTTAATGTGTGGATAATTGCTATTCACTTCTAATTCCCATGTTAATGACATACTGCATTCTAGTAGAACAGCTAGGTAGATGCTTAAATTATCCAAAAATTTGAGGATTAAATGAAATATTTAGGCATGTTTTCTACTTGTGAGCTGAATGTATTGAATATGAAGCCTTTTGGTGTAAACTGAGTGGCCACTCCTATCTCTGTAATGTAAATTGAGATTTCTTATCCTGTGTGAATTGGTCAGAAACATTACAGAGGTCCTATGTTAAAATCACATTACACCCAACCACCATGGAAACTAATCCCACCCCAATAGTACTATGGATAGTAAAGACATAAAACAAGTATTCCAGTCAAACTCAAAATCATGTATCATATATGTCATGCATATATAATGCATATATAATCCATATATATATACTAAAGAATTATACATGCTTACACACACATTTATATGTGGCATCTGTGTCCATTACTGCACTGCTTCTGTGAAAGACTAAGTACATATTCATGATACGCACAAGAATGCTATGCATGTCAGAACTATGTGGTTTTCCTAATAAAAACATTCTCAGTTTGCCTCTATTAACTTTTAAGTGTTTTTCAAACCTTGCTCTAACCTTGTGCCTGGAGTCTCCACCTCCTGCAGACTCGCATGAAAAGCTGAGCAGGACAAACCAGTTCAGACCAAAGAGAATCTACCTGAGTCGAAACACGGTTCCTGATTACGACAATGGCGACAACACAGGTGAAGTTTACCAAGGAATAGTGAGTATTTTTATTTGCAGTTCTAACTGTTCTACATGTTCTCCTCTTTCACTTTCTACATGTAGATATTATGTCATAATGCAATCTGCCAAACCCTAACCCCAGTCTAAACATGCAGTTTGCATTTGCTAAAATGTTGTCAACTGGTTTCTGAGTATTAAGAGGAAAACATTGGTTATGAACAACACATTAGAAAACACAACCTTGGGTTTGTATAGGTAAATGTGTGAGATTCAATTGAACTGGTCCCACTTGATATTAAGTGCCTTTCATAACTGTGTATTCATCATGATGGATTATTGAATTACAACCTATGTGTATGTCTGTATGTGTATTAGATTATTACCTCCTGTTAAAATCAAAAAGGCCTTGTTGAAGAATCAGCAGTTCACCCTTTATACATGTGTAATATATGATGGAAATATGCTGTTCTGTGTACTATATTAAGATACACAGGAGTAAAAATTGAAATTTATACACTTCATTTACATGAGCTGTATGACTGTAATCTATCTGTAACAGTAAATACATCACCAGTAGTTCCTTGCTTGCATGTTGTTGCATGCAATGTTATTGTGTAACTACACAGAGACAATATAAAGTTGGACCATTCAACTTTATTTTTATAGCACTTTTTGTAACAGTTGCAAGAAATGTATGTGTATGTTGAGTAAATTAAGCACTATTTAGAGAGTGTAGATGGAATTTTGTGCAACAGAATAGATAAATAGTACAACATCAGGAAATACAGTAACCAGCAAAAAACACAGTTCAGGGAGCAACATACGGCCTGTTGTTTTATGTTACACCAGTTCCAAGCTATGAAGCGTAACAGAAAAATGTATCTGTTTTCTCCCAGGCCATCATGCTGATGCACAGCACGAGACTTTCCATTAGTAATGGTTATCTTTTCTTACTGCAGTACAGTAGAAATGTTTCAGCTAACTGAAACTACATACATAAAACAGTATACAAAGTTTAAAAAGCATATTTTCACTGTTGAAACAAAGTATTTTATTTCCTTTTTGGTTGTTTTTCATTTATTGACACCACTATTACCAAAATACCAGCTATTCTTTATATCGTGTAACAATTTCATGATTAATGAGCCAACAGTAATCTGATATTACTTCAACTTACAGTGAAAGCTGAGTTTTTCCTTCTCATGAAAAAGTTACCATTTTGAAGATATGAGATTTTATCCCAACAGTGATGACATTCAAATATGAAAATGACTTCTGCATTTGCCTAAGAATGAATGATGAGTTTTGAGCAGATGAATGTGACCTTACACACTAATATGGTATAAATTAATTATCCAAACCTTGGTTATTGAGTTTGGCCTGCATGGTCAAGGATAAACATGGGAAGTAATAAACGGAAACACATGCTCAAATGTGAAAATAAGTAGTTTTACAATATTCTGTATTCAACAGAATATTAAAGCCAACTAGAGTTTACTAGATACATTTTCTTTTGTGGATAACTATAGTTAATTTCAGGTGTATTACATGAAAATATGTTTAATTTTTATGAATATGTTGACTGTAGGGATTTGCTATGAAGCTGTTTTTGAGCATTACCTGCACAGAAACGTGACACTTTTCTAGTCACTTACTGTATATTTTAGTGGGTTAAGATTTGCCAAACAAAAACAAGCTACATATCACTATTGTAGACACTCATCACCATCTCAAACATTGTATTATAATTTGGTTTACTTTTCATATTAAAGCAGGTTAAATGTTCAAATTGATGTGGATTAAATGAGCAGTTTCTAGTTTAATTTGGTGTGTTAAATGTAGTTCCAATGCACATATTACAAAAGCTAACAATGTCATGATTAACCAGGACAGTCGGATTACAACATTAAAACACACTTTGTATTCAACAAGTTTCAGTACAGAGTCTTCTGAGCACCACACATTCAGGAAAAGCTAACTATAGTAGAGTTAATTCAGTTTATCATGTGCTGTTTTGTGTGAATGAAGAGATTCTTCTTTACTAATTGTCACCTGAATGATGCTTGTTAGTTATGTACTAAAGTTAGTTTCACTTTTGCAGATGCTAGTTAGTTTGTAGCTGCTGTGATTAGCACTTAGCCGTTAGCATTTTGGTAACAGGTTGGTAGCACTGCTTCATGTCGTAGCGCTGTTAAACGATGAGCGGAGGATGTTGCTGTGATATACTCAATCCTTGGCTTCAGCCTAGAGTTATTTACACATGGATGTGTGTATACGGAGCGAGAGGGGGTGCGGAGCAGGAAGTTTAATGTTTGAGGGGGTACAGTATTGTAAAAAGTTTGGGAACTACTGTTATAGACCAATTGGTTAAAATTTTCCTTCAGGGGTGTAAAGAGTACTGACAATCCTTACTTAAGTACAAGTACTTAAGTACTGTTACTTGTACTGTACTGTAGTGATAATTAACTGAAGTACAAGTAAAAGTATTAGTAAACAAAATTACTCAAGTAAAAGTATATATATTTAGAATCCCCGAAAGACTGTTCAGGGGTTGTTACTGTTTAAGTTTAAGAGAAAAAAACAGAGTCAGCATTATGAGTAGATTGCTTAATTGATAAAGTAATTTTAGTGAAACCTGAAAAATCAGCTCACTGGACTATCGCTTATGTTAACAGATGTGAACCTCTACAGAGGTCTTCAAAATGTATATTTTCACTGATATCTGTTCAGAACATTTACACCATTAAAATCGGCAGGAACATCAGCAAATTACCCAGCTTTGATTTTTACTGTAATACAATTTCACTAGAAATCATGCTGATCACAGCAGCATTTTGATGAGAATTAATGCACTGACTATGTTTTCACCTGTTGATAACTGCTGATAGTTTTAGGTAGATGAAAAATTCATTTCCATGGGTAAACTGACTCTGTTTTAGCTGTGAAACTTTCTTTAACATTATGTCCTAAACAGACTGAGCAGATGTGTGAGAGTTTCCTTAGTCATATACACTGCTATGTATTTAAAAGCTAAAGGCCAAATTATGACATTTTCTGAGGCTGTAGCAACTGTAGAAATATGCTGACAATCTGAATCTGGCATCCTCACTGCACGCACACTCAGCTGACAAACCAGGACAACCTGTTTAGGTTCAACCAGAGATCTAAAGTTGTATCTCTTTGTCACGAAAGGGATGAGAGGAATATATAGTGTGTATATATATATATATATATATATATATATATATATAACTTTATGAGAAAAAAAAGACATACTATCTATCAGTTCTAGAAAGACTGAGAGAGAAAATAGGTTGCACTTTATTTTACAGTACAGCTCATCTAATATTTAATAAATAAATATGTAGCAATTAGAACTAATGTCTGGTTCATACTTCACCTGTTGGGTGTTAAAGTACAGTTAGTTATGGGAACACTACAGTAGTAGAAGTATGGTAGTAAGTGTATTTGGCATTACAGTTCAGTTATTAATCAGAATTTAATAGGTAATTATTTGTCACTTACAGTTGATATGTAATGTATACTTCTCACATTGATTACAATCATATGCAAAAGAAACATGCACATGTTTAAAGAGAAAATAACTTCATTCATCCTCTACAGAGAACATAACTCTGGACATTTTAAGGCACAATTACTATTGAATTTAACATATTGGGGAAAAACTATATAAAAAATATTAGATTGTATTATTTTTCCCTAAAATGTTAGACTCAGCACATAAACAGAAAAACTTAAATTTAAGTTTGTTCCCTGTAGAGGAATTTAACTGATTTCAAATCAACAACACATCATTGAAAACATGTCTAACTACATGGGACCCTCAAGAGTACATCTTAGTACATTTAGTTATGAACATGATGGTACCATGTTGCATTTAAAATATATATTTTCAAGTTGCAATGACTCATGGCTCCAGATCCACCTTTTCTCTAGGAAAGTGAAGCTTAAAAATTGTCTTAATGTAAACAATTGGTTGTTAAGACCACTGCTGTACCTTTGAGGGTACATTTACATTGTTTCTACAGTGTAGTTACTCATCCGAGGAATATCCAATAACTCTAAATAATTATTTAATTGTTGAATTACCCCCTTAAAAGGCCAGATCCTGCTGGTGGCCCAAAGTTTTTTACACACTTCTATAATCTAAGAATAGCTCAACCAGTTTGCACTGACATCCCTGTAGTTGTTGTATAATAAGCCTTAGTATGCAACCAGTTACACATGAATAACATATATTGTAGTAACACAATTCTTGCCAAAAGTAAGTAAAATTAATGGCAGTAATTGTGTTGATGTGCAGTATTTCATTAATGTGGACCCAACACATTTGTATCAAGTAAATTTAGTGCAACATTTAGTTTCAGTGAATTTGTTTCTTGTGTGGTTCTATATGTAAGACTTCTAGAATACACAGAATGTCCTGAAATGGCATAAAAGCCTCATACTTTAAGCAGGTTATTGTTTTAATAAGTGATATGTATCTCAATGATGAAAAAATGAACCTACTTCATCAAAAAAAATAAAAGCCAGCACTTGATGGCTAAACACCACAAAGGTATTTGGTTGGTTCCTTTGCATTATGATTTTCTTATGAAGCTGAAAGTGCTGCATAAGCAGAACTGACAGAAACAGCAGCAAATTCTTCCCAGTCCTACATTTCTTATAAACATTCATCAAATACCAACAAAAGATGGGCTGAGAGGGCAATGCAATTCTCTTGATTACTCTACAAAAAGTGTCAGAAAAAGTTGAACTATGTTTCCTAGAATTTCTGCAGCAACGTTGTTTTTGCTTTTACTCATCAGAGGTGAATTTCTGAAGTGCGGACGTTGTCGCTGAAATCCTAATCAAGGACACATTATGGGCTTTGTGTTTATGCAAGAAGAGGAGAAATGATGAGCTTTCAGCATCTTCACCAAGAACAAAGGTAGGAGGACTTAAATGAAGGCTGGAACTTTAAAAAACAACTGTTGTACAAACACACCAATACATTGTTAGAAAATTATTGATAATTCAATGAATAAATGTAAAGCTAATGCAAAGAATGGCTCCATTACGTTCAGTACTGAAGCTTCACCATATAAAGATCTTCCTTGTGTTTATGTCTCATTCCGTGAAGGAGATCTTACTGACTTGTACCCAAATGTCATTCTAGCACACTTGTCGAGTCCATGGAGCTTTCAAGTAAGTTAAGAGAGGAACATGCTTCCACTGAACTGAGGTAAACATGCTTTTACATGCTTTATGCTTTATTTTAAAGATCTGTACTTTGATCAGTTGCAACTTGGCCTTGGGCTTGAGAAAGATGCTATAGAGGGATTGAAGCCAGACCTGTGTAAGTGACACTTGACAAATTTTGCAGCAGAGCAAAACCCAATTTTTGCCGTACTTTCCATTAACGTTTATATTTACAGCATTTAGCAGATGCTCTTATCCAGAGCGATTTAAAAAAAGTGCTTTGTTGTCAACTCAGCTAGTTACAAATAGAGCGAAAGCCAGTCCTGCGCTCAGATACTGCTAGAAACAAAAGCCCATGTTGATACCTAGAGAAAAAGAAACAAGTAAACAATACATTTCAATAAGTACTTAACTTAGTGCTCACTTATGTGCTGTAAAAAGAGCTGTTTCTTCAGTCTTCAGTGGGAGTTTGTCCCACCACTTCAGTGCAAGGACAGAGAGAAGTCTTGATGCTTGTCTTCTACATTTCTTGAAAGTTGGCAGGTCAAGCCGAGCTGTACTTGAGGTTCGAAGGGCTCAAGGTGCAGTTCGAGATTTGACCATTGGCATGTCGGCAAGCATCAGGGTTTTAAATGTGATGCATGCAGCTACTGCAAGCCAGTGAAAGGAGTGCAGGAGTGGAGTTACATGAGTGAACTTTGACCTGTTTTTGTGTATTGCACTGTACAAATCCACAGAAAGTATGTGCACATACCTCCAGAGTGCACAGGTGACATCAAACATTATGTAGCAAGATTCAAAATGACCAATATTTCACTTACGCTCCTCTGGTTACAAGCCCTTGCAATATTATTATTATTATTATTATTATTACTAAGAGGAACATTATACTGAGAAATCAATCTTTTATTGAGATATTTGTTTAACTACATTTAACTATTTAATGCATTTTTAAATGACATATAATGGAAAACCAAATTTACCTTTAATTCAGTACATAAACATTATGAAAGTTTCACATTTTTCACATTTACTCCTCAGTCCATACTGTCCACATGTGCAAATCGAGTTGAAAAAATTCTTAAGTGCATTATTTTTGTGATGTCACAAATAACAGTACATTTACATAGTTTGGCCTATGGCACCACCTATTCACACAGAGGTTCTGAGGAGTGTTTCAGCCTGCTTTTGGCTTCAGTGTTTCAGGACAGCTTTTGAATAAGGGCACAATACAGAATGGCCAATCAGAACAGAGATTATTTGCATATATCTGTCCTAAAGGCACAGTAACACAAACAGCCTCTTTATTTGTGTGGGATAAAGAGAGGTTATGTAAAAATGAATTAGTTTTGGTACATAAAACCACACAAATGTCATAAGTTGACCCATGACAAGTGTGGAATATAAGCCTTTAAGTGGTTTATTTGTTGTTTTGGTTCAGACACAGTGAGCAGACTGCATCCATGAAGAGTGAACAGCCTATAGATGTTCAGCGGATGTTCAGAGAGTGTGACTCTGCTACTAATCTGAGGTAAAACAATGCATTAATCTGAAATAAATAATGCAAAATACATTGATATATACTGAAAAAATATTAAAGAAGAAACTGCCAAGAGTATTTTTTGTATAAAAATACTTAAATGGTGTATTTTACTTATTTTGTAGACTGATTCAGAGAGACAGTTCAGAAGGTCCTGAACAAAGCCGTACATTCGCAAGGAGTGATCAGTCTTTGTTGCGTCTTCTGAAGAAAAGTGGACACCCTTCCACTGATGTGAGGTAAAAGTGATACGAAGAAGAACTGTCCAGATAACTTTGATTACAGTGTATAAACACAAACCTCACTTTACTTATCCACTAAATAGTGTTTTGCTTGTATTTTGTAGCTTGAATTCACAAGAGAGATTAGATTCCCCTGAGCCGGGAAGAATAACCAAGAGGAGTGATCAGTATCTGCCTTGGAATTTCAGAGGAAGAGGGTCTGCTGCTGATTTGAGGTAAGAATTATGCAATGACAAATTACGCGAAAAATAATATGAACATTCTTGATAAATTATATGAGAATATATGTTTTGCCCATATTTTGTAGCCTGAACCTACAACAGAGATCAGATTCCTCTGAGCCCAGCTGTATATCCATGAAGAGTGATCAGTCTATGTTTTGTCCATTTAAGTTCAGAAGCAGAGACTCTTCTACTGATCTGAGGTAAAAAAAAAATTAATAATAATAAATACAAATAAAAATAGCAGCTGAGTTTTCTCCTATAATGCTTAATGAGACTGGAGAACACATGGAGGATCTGAGACCATTCCTCCATACAGAACCTCTCCAGATCCTTCAGTTTCTCTTCAGCTCTTCAGATGAGACAATTTACTGTCTGTAAACTCCTCGTTAAACAGCACCTTTTGCTCATTTGCCTTGTGTTTCATAGTTTGAGTCTGAGAGAGAGATCAGATTCACCTACATCCAGCCACATATCTATGAAGAGTGATGATTCCATGCATAGTCCAGGGGGAAATTTCAGAGAGGCAGTCTCTTTTGCTGATCTGAGGTAAAAATTACACACAAGAATACACAGAAAGCTGAAAGGATAAAATAAAAGGTGTTATTTCATATAATCATGAGCTTCACACTGTTTAAAGCCTTAAAGATATGTCATGTCATTTGCTTGCATAAGCTGCAGGTAACCCATTTGGAGTTTTTAGCCATGTAGTTGTAAATGGGTAATTCCACATACATATTTAAACAATGTCTTCATAATTCAATTGAGAGATAAACAAAGTCAAAGTGGTTTGGTGTGAAATGTCTAGAAGTAAAAACATATGTACACAGTAATAGGTTTTAGGTATAAAATATGTTTCAGTCCAAAACCTCAAAACTATCATAATTTGTTTAGGCATCAAACAGTGTATTCATAAATATTTTAGAGCCATTAAACCCTTTAGACGTTTCCTATCACCACTACTGTAAACAATTCTGACTTTGTTTGTTTATCTGGCTATTGGAAAGGAAACACCTGCAACATTCTGCTGCTCTGGCTTTTTGCCAGTGGAACTGCATGACACATCACTTATTCTGCGTGTGTCGTAACTACAGGAATGTGTTCCATTGGGTCACGGAATATGTTTTACTCTACGTTAAATCTCACTGATATTTTTGTGGAAAAATGAATGACGATATGGAAATTTTCAGATGTCATTGCTATTTAAAGATCACTGCAAGTACTGGACTGGCTTTTTTGAGGTTGCTTTGATTGCACACACTGTAAATCCAAATATATAGTTTTGCTCTTCCAGTATTATTATATAGTTGTTCTAGTATATTAAACTAAACTGGGGAATTTCGGAAGGTACTGTCTAATAAACACCCATATTTGAAACCTAAATGCCATGTGATTATGTTTGTGAATAAGCATCTCATCTTTAACAGTAGTGTTTTTTGCTGTTATTCAAGCTTTCCCAGCACTTTATTCTCAGGCGGTTAGCTCAACTGATGCATGTAAAAGGTGTTTAAAACATCAAAACATAAACACCTGGATTTACATTGTAGATGAATGACTCAGTTATAAATTATGATTAGTATAGTCACAGAGATTAATGCAAATAGATTCTTCTGAAACAGAACCATAGCTCACAGTATAATACAGCATTTGTGCACTTAAATACACTGACGTGCCAAAAGTGATGGGATAGCAGTATGTAAATTTATTATGAAGTGGTGTTACCTCAGGGGACAGCTTAGTTATGCCCACACCTGTATGTGTCTGAAGCTGTGCGGGCATTTAACATTCCTTGATCCACAGTGTCACATGCGTACTGGGAATACGTCACAGGAGGCATTACCTCCACAGTGGACAGCACAATGGCCGCCCATGGGTGCTTAATGATCGTGAATAGTGGTGTCTGACTAGAATTGTCTGTGTAAAGAGACAAGCGGCTCTGGCAGAAATCACATACACATTCAATCCAGAAGGCCCCACATGCAACTCCTGCAGGTCAGTGCAGCGTTCTTTAGCTTCCATGGGATATGGGAGAAGAAGAAGACCCACCAGGTGGCTCTGTTAACACCACGACATTGGACACAGTGCATCACCTGGACTCGTGAGGTTACTAATTGGACCCTAGAAGACTGGCAACATGTGGTGTGGTCCGATGAGTCATGGTACGAATTGTTTTGGGCTGAGAGTGGGGCTTGTGTGTGGTGCAGACCCCATGTAGCCATGGACCCCAGCTGTCAGCAAGGTACTGTGCAGGCTGGTGGTGGTTCCATACTGGTGTTGGATGTGTTCACATGGCATCGGTTAGGTCCACTGGTCCACCTAAACTCACGATTGACTGGTTACCACTACATTTCACTGCTTGGTGACTATTTGGAGCCCTTCATGGATTCATGTTCCCCTGCAATGATGGAATATTCCAGCAGGATTATACATCATGCCATTGGGCCCAGGTTGTCCAGAATTGTTTCAAGGAACTTTCTGGAGAGTTCTAATGAATGGTGTGGCCTGCACGTCTGCCCAACATGAGCCCAATCGGGCAATTATGGTATGTGGTGGAGAGGTCCATTTGCATCCAAGATCCTGCACCTACAAATACCACAGAGCTGTGGGTGGCTATCCAGACAGCATGGCTCAATGTCCCTCCAGACCACTTGTGGAATTGATGCCACAACGAGATGATGCACTTTGCCAGGCTGGAGAGGGTCCTACACATTACTAGCTCCTGTCCCATGACTTTTGGCTCATCAATGTAGGTTAAACATGCGGAAAACACTTTATGCACTTTGCAAAATAAGTTCTTGCTGCTTACACTTGTTCTGAGGAGTCTTTTGTTCAGGTGAATTTATCCATGATACAGTCTCTGAATTATGTTGATTGTAGAAGTGAATGTGGTATCTAAATGTCAATCTCAATTTAAGTTGTATGTTGTGAAGTTATAAACATCTTTTAAGTCTTAATGTGTTTTTTGACAGCTCACATGAAAAGCTTTCCAGTGGCAAACATTTTGATTCCATATTCAAGGTATGTATCTTGTATCTTGTATATGTCTATGCATATGTATTTTATATGGCCCCTTTGTGAAGTTAAATTTTCAATACAAACCAGCCTGAAAAGGTGAGGGCAAGCACATTCTTAGGTCATGTAACATGTTACAAGTCAAAATAACCTTCTGAGCTGCTGCCCACAAATCATCCTTGGCCATGTCAAGATGTTTGAAGGGGAGCACCCGCTGTTCTGTTGGTTACATGTAACCTATAGATGCACTTGATTGGCTGTGTCACTTTATATGAAACGGAAGGCAGGAACTAAATCAACCATCCAAGATGATTAATGCTCCTGGGAGTGAGAACCTGTATTTTACAGAAATAGTGTCTCAGTTGGCTAAGCAACTTGAAAACCTTAAGATCACCCAGCCGTGGTCACACCAAACGTGAGCGAACAAGCCAGTTTACATGAATCGTAAAGGATGTGGAAATTCACTTCTGGTACAGGTTCATTTTGCATCACACTGAGTTCACCTAGGTGAATTTTAACACTGCAAATTCATGAACATTGGAAGCACAAGTCAATAAAAAACAAGTGTGCTAGCTGTGGTGTCTTCTTTCTGAATAAATAAATAGATAAAATAAAAAAATGCATAAATAAATGTCGCTTGTTGCTCACAGCTGCAAAAAAGTCTAGCTTTCTAGTTATAACTAGATAATGGAAGCTAGATAAACTGTATGTTCCCTGCAACACCACATCAAATCAAGCCTCCCATAACAGCTTGACTTATGCTCTACCCTGGCAAGCAAACTAGCGAAGTGACAGTCAAGTGTTACTGCAACTTTAGAGTTCAAAGAGAGATTTTATGGAAAAGGCTGTTGTTACTTGATGTTCTTTTATCATTAAACAACCAGGAGCTTGAGGACAGAATCATCTCTCTGGTGAAGAAGGAGCTGAAGAGGTTTAAAAAATTACTGAGTCCAGATTCTCTAGGCTGCTCAGAGAGAGAGGCAGAGGATGAGGGTCAGAGCATTTTCAGAGAAGGGGCACTGAAGATCACACTTCATGTCCTGAAAGACATGAACCTCTTAAATCTGGCCACTACTCTACAGACAAGTAAGAGCTCTGATTTTACTTTAACTAAGAGGAATGTCAAATAAATACCATATGTGGTCAAATGCTGCAAATACTGTTTGATATAAAATGTTTGATTGATTAATTATATAAAATCCCCTTCTAAATTAAGAAAAACTACAATGATTTTCGTCTGTATTTCTCAGAAATTCTCCCGTCATATCAACGAAAACTGAAATCCAGACTGAAGAAAAGATTTCAGAGCATTAATGAAGGAATTCCAAACTATGGAACCTCAACACTTCTGAATGAGATCTATACAGAGCTGTACATCACAGAGGGTGGGACTGGAGAGGTCAATAATGAACATGAGGTGAGACAAATTGAGACAGCATCCAGGAGAACATCAATACAAGAGAGACCTATCAATTACAATGACATCTTTAAATCCTTATCTGGACAAGATCAATTAATCAGAACTGTGTTGACTAAAGGAGTTGCTGGAATTGGGAAAACAGTCTCAGTGCAGAAGTTCATTCTGGACTGGGCTGAAGGAAAATCAAATCAAGATGTCCACTTCATATTTCCAATTCCTTTCAGGGAGCTAAACTTGATGAAGGATAAGATGCTCAGTTTGATGGACCTTTTACATCACTATTTTAGAGAAACAAGAGAATTAGGATTAACAGATTGTAACGACTTCAAAGTCTTGTTCATTTTTGATGGTTTGGATGAATGTAGACTTCCTCTAGATTTCCAAAACAATGAGATGATTTTTGATGTAGCACAGATGACCTCAGTGGATGTCCTACTAACTAACCTCATCAAAGGGAATCTGCTTCCATCTGCTCTTCTCTGGATAACCTCTCGACCAGCAGCATGTGGCCAGATCCCTCCTGAATGTGTTGACCAGGTAACAGAGGTACGAGGATTCAGTGACCCTCAGAAAGAGGAATACTTCAGGAAGAGAGTCAGTGACCAGAGTCTGGCTGACAAAATCATCACACACATCAAGTCATCAAGAAGTCTCCACATCATGTGCCACATACCAGTGTTCTGTTGGATATCATCCACTGTTCTGGAGAAGATGTGTCATGAAGCAGAAAGTGGAGAGATTCCAAAAACTCTGACTCAAATGTTCGCACACTTCCTAATCTTCCAGATCAAACACAGCAAACAAAAATATCAAGGAAAAAGAGACTTTGATCCTGATCAGACCAGCAAGATTATCTGGACACTGGGAAAACTGGCTTTCCAACAGCTTGAAAAAGGCAGCCTGATCTTCTATGAGGAAGACTTGAGAGAGTGTGGCATTGATGTCAGAGAAGTGTCAGTGTACTCAGGAGTCTGCACTCAAATCTTCAGAAAAGAGTTTGGGCTGCACCTGGGGAAGGTTTACAGTTTTGTGCATCTGAGCATTCAGGAGTTTCTGGCTGCTTTGTATGTGTTTCTTTCCTTTCTCACCAGCAACAGAAAAAAATTTGAAAAACAAGTCCCTGGATTTGTTAGTTCTGCCCACAAGCCAACAATATCTGATCTTCTCAAGACTGCAGTAGACAAGGCCTTACAGAGCAAGAATGGACACCTGGACCTTTTCCTGCGCTTCCTCCTAGGTCTTTCACTGGAATCCAATCAGACTCTCTTACGGAGCCTCCTGCCACAGGCAGGGACAAGCTCCCATAAGGAGGAAACAGTAAGGTACATTAAAAAGAAGATCAGGGAGAATCGCTCTACGGAGAAATCCATCAATCTGTTCCACTGTCTGAGTGAACTGAATGACCACTCTCTAGTACAGGAAGTTCAAACATACTTGTACAGAAATGGCAAGAATCGTCTTTCTACACGACTTGTCTCTAGAAACTTCACTGGAGTCAACCTCTCACCTGCTCAGTGGTCAGCTCTGGTGTTTGTGCTCTTGAGCTCAGAGGCAGAACTAAAAGAGTTTAATCTGAGCAAATATGACCCATCAGAGGAGTGTTTGCAGAAACTATTGCCAGTGGTCAAAGCATCCAGAAAAGCAAAGTGAGTATACTTAATCAAAAATATTACCTGCACCATTTACTGTTTACTGAATTAGAAACTTGTCTTTTAGTAATGAAATCTTGTAGTCAATAATACTATTAATGTACAGGGTTTTTCTCAGACTAATTACATGAATTATCATGTAACTCATGTAATTACATGAGTTATCAAAATACATGTGAAACATTCAGTTTAATTTACTTATAGCTCCTAAGGAACACACAATGCAGAACAAACTGCATCATGGCAGGCTAGTAATACCACTTATGTTGTCTTTGTATTATGGCACAGCATGACATTTTGCTATGTCTTATTTTAAAATAAAGAGTTTACTTTCTACAATGTGAGAAAGTCCTGAAATAGATACACCTCACCTCTCTTTGCCTTAAAGGGACACAATGTTGTTTTGTTGTGTTATGCAGTAATCTGTAGCATAGCAATGCAATTAACATATGTTAAACAATTTTTTTTCCAGTCTTAATGGTTGCAACCTTACAGAGAAAAGCTGTGCCATCCTAGCCTCTGCTCTCAGCTCAAAGCCCTCAAATCTAAGAGAGCTGGATCTAAGTACCAACAATCTGCAAGATAAAGGAGTGAAGCTCCTCTCAGATGGACTGGAACACCCACACTGTAAACTGGAAAGACTTAGGTAGATAATCACACATAATGTTCATGAACACTCTTTCACGCATAAATCATGAACAAGACAAAATACAAACATCCCACTTGATCAAGACTCAGGATCTGGAGTCTAAGCACTTCTCTTGAAGGCAGGCAAAGTTTTAGTCCTGCTGAGTGTGTTTACATGTATCCTAATAATACAAGCATATCTGATTTGTTATCTATGTAAACAGCATAATGCCATGTATCAGATTAAAGCTGTTACTAGACTTCAAGAAATCAAATAAAGATAGATTTTAGCCCAATAAACATATTTACAGTATGTATACTGATAATCTGACATTTAAAAAATAGAAATGGAAAAACATCTGCTGGTTAGTGATACTCTAGGAACACGCTTGAAAACCACTGCTTTAGTTACTGATGCCTTACATGTCAATTGAAGATGCTGTGTGCATGGCAGCATAGCTTCATAATATTCCATAGTTTTTGAAAATGATAGTAGTGTATCCAGAAACTGAAACCTACATAGGGCATGTAGTCTTTGTAGAATTTTACTTCAAAATGTTATATCAGTATATATGTGACTGTGTAACATGTATATGTTTTGCGTATTTGAAATTGAGCTTTTCTGAAATTATTTCTCTTCTAGGCTTTGCGGCTGTAGGCTTACAGAGAAAAGCTGTTCAATTCTGGCTTTTGCTCTCAGCTCAAATGTCTCAAATCTAAGAGAGCTGAACTTGGGCAATAATAATCTACAGGATTCAGGAGTGAAGCTGCTGTGTGAAGGACTGCAGAATCCACACTGTAAACTGGAGAAATTGAGGTGAGATCATCATTTTAAACAAAAACTGCATTTGCAAAAACCTTTAACTGTTTGCTTAATCCAACTTGACAGTATGTCTATTCCCTGTGAGTAGGCTGCATAACTGCAGTATTACAGCAGAAGGCTGTGCTGCACTGGTTTCAGCTCTGAAATCAAACCCCTCACACCTCAGAGACCTCAATTTGGGAATGAATAACCTTGCAGACTTGGGAGTGAAACTGCTAACAGTTCTGCTGAAGGATTCTCACTGCAAACTGGAGAAATTACGGTGAGTATACAACGCTTACTCTGCTCTTGGTCAGCATATACTAGACATGTTCATACATATTATTCATTACTTCATTTTAATTTAAGACTGTATGAACATGTTTTTCTGCAGACTGTGTGACTGTGGTATCACTGAGGAAAGCTGTTTGGCTCTGGCTTCAGCTCTGAAATTAAACCTCTCACTTAGAGAGCTGGATGTGAGCTACAATAAACTAGGAGACTCAGGAGTGAAGCTACTTTCTGATCTATTGAAGGACTCACAGTGCAAACTGGAGAAATTACAGTGAGTGTGTCAGATTATTCATTTTGTACATCTTTTGTCAATATATTATGTTTTGTGATTTATGTTTTATTTTTTGCATATTTGCTCTAGCAGTTGAGCCATAGAACTGAATGTTGTCTATGCCCAGCCCATTCAAGTCCTTAGACTTTGCCTCTAAACATATTCATCAAAGTCAAAAGTCAAATGGTTAGTTACTGCATTGTCACAGACAGTAAATAATAGAAGTTGATGAGAGTATAATAAACTATGACTGAATTCCTCTTTCAAAGAACTCATCAGTCTCTCTACTGGTCTTGTAGCCAAAGTGTCTTTGTGTATGTTCATGTCTGACCATTCTGTGTGTTTCGTTGTCTTACAGCTTCTACACCTGATTGGGTCATGATTGGAAAGATCATTCAATTACTGTACTGATAATTTCTGAATATGTACCTTAACCTATGCCGTTGTACTTTGTATTAAAAACATCTGTACCTTCAGCACTTAAATGCCAGTAGTTCCTCTGAGTAGTATTATTCTCAGTTGTCAGAATTGTAGTGTAGATTTAATAGTTCAGTGCTCAATTTGGATTTTTTAATGTTGTGCTTTGAATGGAATGTGTAGATGTGCATTCTTTCTGGAGAAGATGATACTGTGGCTGAAGCTGAAATATGCCTGTTGGTTTAGAGAATTCAGCACATTTAGTAAAGAATGTTTCTTTGACAGTAGACAGTAGTTGACATTAGTTCAACTTCAATGCTAAACATGTAACCTATAACCAATCACCATCCCTTAAAATCCCAGACTTATTACATACTGAAGCTTATTGTTCTGTAAATAAAGGGAAATCAGTGCAAATTGGTTAAGCTATTCTGTATATAGAAGTGTGTAATAAAACTTTGGGCCCGCTGATGGACCCTGCTTATTTAAGGGGTTTACATGGAAACAGGCTAAAATCTAGCTAGCTTTCATGTTTTGTTAGCATTTGTAAATGTTGTGCACAATAAAAACTCTGCACCCAGTCTTTTCTTTTTGTCTCATTCTTTAAAAACCCAGGGCTGCAGGTAGATTTAGTAGTTCATTTAACCCCCAATTACCAGCATTATTATATCCTAAAGCTTATTATTTAGTAACTACATAGACAGCAAAGCAAGTTATAGGATTAGTGAATGAAACTTGGACTCTCTGAAGAGTTCTGGCCTTTTGAGGGGTTAATGGTAGGCTTACTCAATAAGCTTAACAACTAGCCTAATCATAATCTGTGAATGCTAACATATTCTATATCGTTGTAACTAAATCAATTGTGGATTCCAGATTTCTTTGAATTTATTTGATTACCGGTATGGGGTTGAATATGTTGAGGAAACTAAGATACCAATGAGATATGTCAGTTTCATTTGTGATTGTATGTACTGTTTCTCAGATATAAAGGAAACCCATTCAATTCATAGCTTGTTTTTCTTGTTTTTAAAAAGTATGTCTTTTAATATTCCTTATAAACTTTTTTAAGATTATCTACCAGCTGAGACTCAATAAAATAAGAAAATTTTCTTGTCAAGATTATAAGCATGCAGAGTAGCCAAAACCCATACTCAGCTGAAAGTACTGTTATTTCATGAAATAAAGTAAATGTAACACTAAACATACGTTTTGAGAAGAAGTACAAAAGCAGCACCTGAAAATACTGATATTTGTAATAACTGCAGTGAAACTTCTTAATCCATCCACCTTTCAGCAGTACAAGAACCAAAGTTTGTTAAGCCATGCTCTTCTGTTTGGGGTCTTTTTGGTCTAAAATAAAATGATAAAGCCCCAAAGTCAGTGGTCTGACCGATCTCACAGTGTAAAAAGAAATTAGAATCTAAATGTTAATAACTAAAATGGAACAGAGTAAAAAGTGGATTCTATTCCTCACTAACATACTTGAAGGGCTGAAGCCTCATGCTTGCCTAGTATGCCATCTACTGTTGCATTCCTTTATTACATTATTTGTTTGAAGGCAGAGCAGATGAGAATAAGGGGCAATATATACTTGTATTAGTAATAACTGTACAAAAGTCTCATATGTCAAACACTAGTGACAAAGTCTGTAGCTAAAAACATAATCAAGAACAATGACAGTAAGAATACCAACATCCTAAAGGTTAAAGAAATACAAAGTCATAATGTGCTCTGTTTGCCACTTCCATTTTTTGAAGACATGGCCAATTTTTCTAAGTCTTTTAACTTATTAAGGCAGTGATAAAAAGAAAACACACTTAAATTTGGCATTTTTATTTGCTTAACATTTTGGAAAAATATATATATATAAAATGAGCCAAGACTTTCGCATAGGTCACATTTATTTTCTAATTATTTTCTCCATATATTAAATTCGGTAAGCAAACAATAATTATGCATTAAATGTGTAGAAGTGAGTTCTCTGTGGAGGATTTGTTAGCTTATTTACACTTAAACAAAAAAGTGATTTGAAGATGGCCTGTGCATGTGTCTCCTGGAGGTAGTTTTAGTTGTGTTCTTGTTGTTTCTTTTTATTTCCAAATACAGCAGGGTTCTGTGCAACCTCTAGCAACAGTCTGTTGATTATTACATTTCTCATGGTTAATCGCAACTTGGCTTACATCTTTCCAAGGCTTGGCTACACAACGTGTCCACAACTTCAAATGTGGACATGTTGAAACAAACCTCTTCATATTTTACCACTAAGTCTTGGTAATCCTTGGTAATCCATTACATTCTTCACCTTGACTTGCCAATGTCAATTTGTCAATTTCGTTCATGTAAATGTTGATATTTCAATGTTTCATGATGAGAGAGATAAGTCTGGGTCATGCAGTACATGCCATTGTTAGCCCTGTAAACAATACTGCACCGGTGTCTCCACCTCCTTCAGGTTTGTATGAAACCTAGGCAAACAAGTTTTGTGACCAAACGAAGTCTAGCTCTCTAAGCAGGATCTGTTGTGGAGCATAAAATACTTTAGGAATAAACTGCTGTGAGTATATATTATATTATATTATATTATTAGAGATTATTCTCCAGTGTGTCATGCTTACTGTCTCACTATAACTAAAATGATGAGAAAAAGCATTTTAAACCGATACATGTTTTTTCCAAGATAGAGAAGAAAGAGACTTAAAATATTTTTTCCCATCACTTAATGTAAATTAGTCAAAATAATTTAAACTTAAAAGAAATTACAACTCAAACATACATGAGTGACTGCTTACAACTGATTACCTTAAATGGACTAAGTACTCCTAACTAATAGAAACATTATATTTAAAGGACATACAACTGCTAACTCAAAACATTTAAGCTATATTAAATTTTGTGCTTTGCTTCAAACACTGCAGTACCTGCCATTGTTAGCCTTTAGAAAGAACTGTAAATAATACTGCACTGATGTCTCCACCTCCTTCAGGTTTGCGTGAAACCTAGGCAAAGAAGTTTTGCGAGCAGACGTTGGTTCTCTGCGTAGGATCTGTCATGGGGCATAAAATGCTTTAGGAATAAACTGCTGTGAGTATTTGCTACTACACTTCTTCTCTAGTGTGTCATGCTTACTGTCTCTTTATCACTGAAATGATGAGAGAAGAAGCATTTTAAACTGATACATGTTTTTTCCAAGATGAAGAATTCTAGATAGAAGCATGTTTGAGGCAAAACTAGTATGAATAGCTGTTATATAGTGTTAATAGTTCATTGTCAGAAAAAAACATTTACCTGTTCAAGATAGTTTAACTTGTAAAATGTTCATGCTTGGATGTACTTGGATGTAACATGCATATATCTTTGAAATGCAATACATAACATTTAAATTATCCTAAAAAGGCTTAAAAGCTTTATTAAAAGATTACCATATAAAGCAGCTATGAAATTCATAACATGTAGGGGTCAAAGGACAGACAGATAAGGTAACTTTAGAGTTTTCCAGATTCAAAATCCACCTAATAGGCTGCAGTTGTCAAATTACCAGATTTTTTTAGAAACACAGAAATGCAAAGACTAGTAAAGCAACTGAACAGGACTTGGAGTTACATTGTAGTATACAACACTTTACAAACACAAATCTCAGGTAGGGACAATGTAAACACATACTGGGTCGCTAACAAACTCATTATATTGTTATGTAATACCATAAAATACTAGAATTAGACACTAATGCTGTTTCTTGAATATTGGACAAACAATACTACTATATTAGATTTTTTAAATTGTCTATAAATCACTCAGTGGCTTAAGTCCAAAGTATATTTCAGATTTACTGGAAAAATACAAACCTAACAGGCCTCTCAGATCACTCAGGACTTGGTGACTAGCAGTGGTACCAAGCATGGTGAGGCAACATTTAGCTCTTATGGTTCCCAAAGCTGAAACTGGCTGCCTGAAGAACACTTAAGCACTTTCTTTTTAGGGTTTGCGCTTGCATTCTGTGCTTCCATGCAATTTGTCACTACTGAAGGACAAACACAACCTACTTGGTACTTCCGCACTAGCAGCACATACCCTCAACACTTTGTTTATAGTCATCAGTGCAGGGATGGGGGAGTAGTTAAGCAGTGCAGTACTTTTTGTAGCTGACTACAAATGTTTGCAGCTAATAGCTATAGCCGCTACAGTTTTATGAAATGTTGCTAGTAGCTGTTGGGCCTACAAATTTTTGTGTAGCTATAGTGATAATTTTCGCAACAATTTCACTACAGGCTTCAGGCAATCCGTGCAAAATCTGAACCACAGAGCGCAGTCATTAACTGGGCAGGTGGTGATTGTGCAATTCTTACAGAGCCACGGACAGTTTGGGCAAACGGTCACGCGCTGATAAGCCCTTACTAGTAGGCTGAACTCAGGGGTTGCAACCAAAATGTTAAAAAGAGCCATTTTGTTCTTTCAACAAAAATCAAACCACCTTGGAAGCCACAACATTTAATGTCCATTTTACCATCTTGGTTGTAAATCTGTCTCAGTATGTGCTAATGTATTAGTTCAGGTTAAAAATATAATATAAACGAAAATGTAGACTTAGTTTGCTCTGCTTTAACCTTTAGCTCAACTGCTGCACTATTTAAGGTGGAACGGGACAATTTGAACGAGAAGTAGGAGAATGAGAAGCAACTTCAGCTTCGCAATTTGTTGCAGATTAAATGTACGAGGAAACCATCTGAGCGCTTATAAATGCAAATAAGTCCATCATCTCCAAACTATCGATGTTCGTCTTAAATGTCTCTCTTTGCCTTTTCGTTATCTGCGTTGCTGTGTGACCAGTAGTCTGCGCATCAGTCTTCAGCAGTAAAGGTTGGTGAACTAGCCATTATGCGTTAACTCTGGCGTTTAAGACCATTTATTGTGAAAACTGTGTTAGAACTGTGTGTTATAGGGATTTTACAGCAAAGGAGGGTTATGTTATTTTACCTAAAAATCTAGTTCTCTAGTTAGCTCTGCAGCAGTGGAGAGATTATTCAGGCCTGATTCTCACCCCAAACAGAGCCAGAGTCACTGATGAGAATTTTGAATGTTGCTGAAGTTTAAAGGAATCTGAATGTCATGTCTGTGCATCTTGCTGAAATGTTTAAATTGGAGCAGTTTTATTTCAACAGTTGACAATGCTTTGCACATAATTGTTTGGTTATTTAATTTGATTTCTGTTGATTTTTGGTAGGAAAAACCTGGAATGATTGACTTTGTCTTTACTTAGTCTAAATTCTTGTTGGATATCACGCCTTTGGTTGTGTAAGTTTGATTGTTGGTTACACTTAAACTCACTTTTTGGTGATCTTTTTGTACATTTGCAGCTTTTCAACTGTGTTTCTTTCTGGTACATGATTAAATGCAGTTTCTTGCTCACACTTTCAGTTGGGCTTGTTTGGTGTGTCAGGTGGCGATTCATGAACATTCTGACAATCACGCTTTGAAAGTAGCTAAAATGTAGCCATTACTTTTT